TTTCATTGTCCGAACTTGCATATGGGAGAACACTGAGACTCCCTGGAGAATTAGTGGAAAGTTCTGACATAACCCAAGATTTTGACCCTTACAGTTATGTTTCTAAATTAAAACGTTTTTTTGGAAATTTTAAAGCTCTTCCAACAAGAAAGAAATAAGGTCTAATGTATATATTCCACCAAAGTTGTTCACTTGTAGTCATGTGTTTCAACGAATAGATCACGTAAAAAAGTCTTTGCAACCCAACTATCAGGGGCCATATGAAGTGATATTTCGAAATAAGACTGCTTTCACTATAAAAAAAAATAAGGGTATAGAACGAGTTTCTATTAACCAATTAAAACCTGCTGAAATTACTATTTTTGAAACAGATAAGGAAGAACGTCCTGAACAAAAACATGGCGTGGAAAACCAAAATTTTCTCACTGAAATTGAAAAACCACCAATAAAAACAGTAATTACTCCCAAGAATAACAATGAACCTTTTATTTCAGAATTCACGAGTCCAACGACAAAGGACATCCTATGGAAGAAGGAGAACCAGCCCAAGACCAGATACGGCCGGACAGTACGTCCGCCAGACCGGTATGGACAGGCAGAGACGGAAGTCTAGAGGAAAAGGAAGAGGAAAATTCGGACAATGACGAAATAACCCGGACCGACAAATCCGATAGAGAAATCATTTATTTGAAACGTGGCAGGATGGTGGGACAAGAATTTATCAAGAATTCAGGTATTTATCCATTATACTATTACTTCTAGTTTTCATGCAATTACCATGGCTATGTTTTGGAAATCCAGAGGTTCATGGCTATATCTGCCAAAATGACAAAATCAATCAAGAGTACGACATATCGGATGATAAGTCTTGCAAACAACACAAATCCGAACACATAGTGAAATGTCAAGCTAAAGTCTATCACGCACCTAAATTGCATACTAAAATTCCAATTAGAGCTTGCCAAACTAGTATAACTGAATGGAAAAGTCACTTTTATTTCTTTGGAGTTAAGACTCACTTTACCAAAATAAAATCAGGAGTACCTTCGTCCGAACAAAATTGCAGAAACTGGTTTTAAGACTCACGAATCGAATCAATTCGGTAAGTTTGTTCAGAAAACCAATGATCTATGGGTAACCGAGAATAAACCGGTTATCAACTATAAATGGCCCACAACTGATTCCGGAACAACTGAAAATATTGCCCTAATAACATCCTATGTAATGTATGACCATCTAAACTCAAAAATTATTTTTCCTCTAGCTGACAGCGCAAATTGCTCTGTAAATCAATCTTCCTGCCAAATTGGTAGTTATACACTTTTATTTGACGATGCAAAATTCGAAAAATGTCCAAACAAAGCGGAGGAATAAACTCTTCGCTAACTGCACATGTAAACAACACTAATGACATATATGCTGTAGAACTAAACGATTTACATATGACCTTTCATTCCTTTTCAGTGTGTAACGAATTAACGACTGATTGCTTTGGCAGTATTTTCTGCCCTTGAAAACGAACTTTTGGTTCAAGTCAAGAATTGTAGTTTATTAAAGAAAGTCAACGTGTTACGTGAGTTTGCTGATCACGCAGACATTTCGACGGCATTAACGTTGATGATACAAAATGTCGCAGACTCACAAACCGCTCTGTCCGCGAAATTACAGAGCCAAATCTTTAAATTGGAATGTGAGACCGAACGAATATTATCTAAAATTTATAGAGTTTTAGCGAAAACGTACCCGTCGGATGTGTTGAACGAAATTTTGGGAACAAATAATCTCTTTGCGGTTAACAGAGGCGACGTGCTGGGCACCCTTTGTGTCAACCCATAAAAGCGAGTCTCTTAAATAGTCTAATATTACCTAACGAGTTATATTCTACTCGTCCTTTAGTTAACTATACTGATAACACTAACACTACAGTTATCGCCCAATACTTGTCTTCGGGAAGAATTCTTCCAGGTATAAACTTTTATAGTACCGAACCACAGGAGTTCGTTACCTTTAAAATGAATAACACTTATTATAGCTATCAAAAGGGAATTCTACAAAACAAACCACAAACCCAAAGAAAATTCACCCTTACCTAACAACTAAGAAAATAAATCCTTACAATACAAATTATCTTACTTCATTGTCAAAATTTTTCAAGAACGACGTACCGCGTTCTAACGACATAGATTCAATGCTAATGTCCATAAGCCAGAATTCCATATTTACTAAAAGTCTAATTGACTATGCCAATTCTTTTAATGACGAACAGGAAACAACTAGTGCTAATCCTGCACTTCCCCTGAAAATACTAGCTAAACATATTTAAAAAAATATTGATATCTTTTCTTAGTGGAATAGGCAATAAATTCCTTGCCATTGTAATACTGATCGGGCTAATTCTGTCTATTATTTTTGCTTACGGCAGGACTGTAACTTTGGCTGGAAGTGGAATCCGAAGTTCTGTCGGGAGAAGAATAAGGGATAGAATCTTTGGGGGCGTCCCTCTCCTCCGACAGACGTACAAGCACTCCGAGAGAACAGGAAGGCCCCAGATATCGACGTACCCGCTCCCGTGAACCGAACGGAAATCATTCCAGAGGTACGCATGTCCACCACCAACCGAGAGTCACGCGTACCCCAGTAAGGGATAGATGGGACCGTCTCTGGTCGTCCCGTGGCGGAGCCAGAAGCCGAACCCCCATCGGCCAATCATCCACAGCTCGTCCTATGGCACCGGTGCAAAGAGCTCCCCCAGCAAACGAGAGGGCCAATGCTATGCAACACCTCAGAAGCAATGGTGGAAATGTCGAGGTCTTAAATCTCGTGTCGGATAGCGGAAGCGAATAAATAAAAATTTATAGCGCTCGCGGCGATAAACAAAACTTATGACCTGATAAAAGACAATGACAGGTTACATAATCAAGAAATTATAATCAAGAAAATAAATACTTTTTTTTAACATTTTTTTTTTTGGATCCAAAGGCTCACAAGTTTTTTAAGCCTTATTTTTTTCCCTCAATCATTTTTTTCAACCAATGATTCCCCAAATGGAGTACTCCAATCATTTTTTTGTTTTTCTCCACCAAGTTTTATCTCCAAATTAAGTGCACAAAGTTTTCACAAAAGTTATCTTAATTCTTTCTGCAGTTCATTGAATTTATGAGATTAATAGGAAATATCACGGTACCGATGTCTCAAAATTAATTTTATTGTTGCATTCTTTTATTGGTTTTACAACGCTCGTCTATTGATTGTATTTTTCAAATTTCATGACAAATTATTGTGTTTTACATCTAAATCTTCCCCCCTCCCCATTTTTATTGCAAATGGTACAGACAATTAAATGTAGAATGAGTAGTAACAATACTAGTTGCAATCACTGAAACGTAAAGACCTACCTAGTTGCAATCACTGAAACGTAACGACCTACCAAAAAGCCTTATGTTTAATAAGGTTTAACACTGATAACGTAAAGACCTACAATACAGTCATATTGTAAGATTTTTTTGTTTTTGGGAATCAATAAACCATCTTTTCTTCATTTTTTAAAGTAATTATCGCCTAATTTGTCTAATAGTAAATCGTACATTAAACAAGTGCTCACAATTTTGAAAGTCGTGTAGGTGAGAAGAAGGTATAATAATACCATTACTGTTTCACTGAATTGCACAATTCAAATGCCTTTCACAATACAAATGTCTCATCCTTATAATTTGAAAAGACCCCAAGTCAGAATCACAATAAATGGGGCTACAATGAGTTCTTAAGTTGTATGTTTTTAATTCTTGCATGTATAATTAGTGCTCAAATTTCATGTTTTTCTTCTTGTATATAAATCTTTCAATTGCCATTTTAAATAACCAAAATTAAGGAATTTGTCTTGTCGTGTGTTTGACCATTTTTTTCTTGCTCTTCGTAGTGGATGTTTTGCTCTTCATCCGACAGTTTTCAAACAAATTACTTTGACATTTCAAATTGCCATCTTCAAGTTACGAGATTTGATTACTGTCATGATAATTTCGATTTCATTCTTATATTTCTACAATTATCGGTTAATTTTTAATATGTGCTTTTAAAATATTTCACTTGTGGTGCCAGGAATGTGTAACAAATTAACCAATAATTTGGATAATGGAAGTCAAATTCTATATAATAATTGACGTAATCGAAATATTGAAGAGATCTTTCTAGTCTTTCTCGTGTATGAGAAAATGGATATTTTCCCATGTCGGGTGACCCATAAACAACCGAAATATTGAAGAGATCTTTCTAGATCATTCGAAATATTGAGTCTAGATCTTTCTCGTGTATGAGAAAATGGATATTTCCCATGTCAGGTAACCTATAAACAAGTGTAATTATTGTAAGAAGGGTACCGAACATTCTAGATATGAGCAAAAATTGCTCCGTGGGAAACGAGATTTTTGGATAATAAAGAAAGGTACCGTTTTTGGCGAGCGAGATGAAAAAGATGTTACCGTTTAAATAGACATTTTGATCGTGGTTTGGCCGGCTTTTCTATTTCAATTCGTTCGATACAGCAACCGGCTTTTCTATTTCAATTCGTTCGATACAGCAACCGGCTTTTCTATTTCAAATCGTTCGATACAGCAACCCCTTTTCTATTTCAATTCGTTCGATACAACAATGCTGATTCATCACCGACTTGGTTTTCACGATTGTGAGTGTGTTTTATTGTAAGTAAATTTATTGTGATATATTATCCGTGGAAATAAAAATCTTTACAGGCAAATTGGTCAGATCCTTACTGTTATATAAAATTAACAGATATCTCAATTTGAACACGTAACCTACTATATATTCTGTTTTGGAGTCAGATACTTATCTAATACGCTCATAAGAAAGCAAAGACATTCCAGAAGTTACACTAGATTCATTAACTTGCCAACTTTGATAATCAAACTCTTTATTAAGAAAACAAACAAAATGAAATTGATTTCAATGTGTCTAAAGTGAATTCTGATGATTTCATCATTTCCCAGATGATAGCATGGGAGTCGGACAACTCCAGCATCGATGCATGTAAAGACAAAACGAATGAACATCGAAAATGCAATAATTTTATCAGAATAAACGCACAAGTATCTAAAGACCAATTCTTAATCTGCGGAACCAATGCTCGACAACCAAAATGCAGACAGTACGAGGTATGTGGGCCAGAGTAAACTGGACAAAATGCAGTGGTATTCAGTTTTGAAATACTTGCCTAATCTAGAAGTTGCGTTGTGTCGAACTGAATTGGCGTTAAAGGCTATATGGCTTTTTTCAAGCTCACTTGCAACAACATAATCCAGGGTGCAACAGCAAGTTATTCACAGTTGGGAAAAATTTTGTTCCATCGCTTGTCCGGAGCTTTTTCGGAGCAAATGACTCAAACAGCAATAAAATATTGAGATACTACTCTTTGCAGAAGTTATAGTTCGCCGATCATGAAAACACCATTGAAATGATATTTAATCCCTTCTAAAATATCAATCTATGTGTAATATTATATTATCAATTTAATAACTCCATAATCTGTGCACTGTATTTTAGTGGAATGGTCACAGATTTACTGATTTTTACGAAGGAGAAAGATGCACCGACGCTAAAACATGTCTACTTGACGATGAACCATCCCTTGCTTACGCATATTCGAGTAAGTTTTTTTTTATTCCAGGCATGTCGCTCAGATAAAGCTTTTGATGTCTTGTTCCTTGGTTTCCTTTTTAAATTTTGTATCTCCGATTAACATTTTTATATGTTTTAGTAACGCACTAGACAAATCTAATTATCTTTCCACGTTCTTGGATCAGGTTTAAGTTAGTCCGATTATATTGAGTTAATGTTTCGGTTTCACTTGTAAATAAATTTAGTAGACGACATATCGAACAGGAAAGGTTACCCAAATAATTCTAAATGTTTTCGTCTCGGCGTTGGTGTGAAAAGGGGGAATGAACTCTGGAACTTTAAATAAAAAGAACAAGTAAATTTTGGGGACTTGTTTCATCGATAGTGCGATGTGAAATTAATTCTCTGGCAGGAGAAATGATTAGCAAAATTCAACGCGCTCGATAAGTAATTTTATGCTTTTTTTCATTATTTTTAGGAGGAAACTTGTATCTTGCCACCAGAGTTGATCATAGAAGAAGCCCAACGATTCGACGTGACCCCGTGGATGACAGACTTGCTTCAATAAATTTTAACCCTAATTTGGGATCGTCAGGCAATTCTGTAACAAAGGACGATCCGTTACCTTATCTTGCAACAGGCTCTGCCAATAATGAATTTCTTTTGAACGATCCTATATTTGTTTCCAGTTTTGAGACATCTGAGAAAATTTATTTCTTCTTTCGAGAAACTGCGTATGAGCAATTGGAAAACGGAGAGGTAATTTTTTTTACAAGTTGTCTAGAATGCAAGCAGTATTGAGTTGCAAACAAAACGAGATACACTACATACGGTAATAATTCTTGCGACATATTTGTAATTTTATCATGTGAAAAAATTATAATAAATCTATTCACAATGAACGATAAGTAATTTACAGTGCAAAACTGCCTCTGAATAATTGAATAGCAGAGACAATGGTACTTCGTTCTATTTTTGGGATCAATTTCTACATTAATATTTATAGCCTATATGCCGGAAAACAGGGGTGCTTGTTTTCTGGCGTTATAGGGTATAGTTTGAATTTAAAAATGTCCATCTGTACTAGGCAGTTGTTTCATGCCTCATTCATAATATCGTACCAACCATTGTGATAATAATTATTCAGCCAAAGCTTTTCGTCAATTTTGGAGTTCTGTCCTTGGAACGTAATTCAATTCCTTTTTATTGGAAAATATAGGAAATTTGGATTTACGTTTACGTGTGTGCATCTCAGGATAATATATGCCTAGCTGGTTTCCAATGGAATTGATCATTATTTTATCCATTACAACTTTTAGTCTCGTACACATACGCTAAAGCCAAACATGAACCACGTGTATTTGAATGTTATTAACTATCATTATTGGTACTACTATCCTAAGCGCCATCTTACTGGCTGCATCCAAAAAGGTATGGTGGGGACGTAAAGGACGTTCAGATATTGAAAACAACCTAACCAATCACCCCTTTACTATTCACTTAAATGCTTTTACAATTATTTTTCTACCGGCAGGTAACAATATCTCGTGTTGCCCAAGTTTGCAAAAACGACAAAGGAGGAAGTGCGGCGTTAATGAGTCACAAATGGACATCTTACTTCAAAGCAAGGTATGTATATACATATATGATATTGGTTTCCATACGTCTCTAACATAACAAAGACTTCAATATTGTATAGTTTATATCAATTACTATTTCAGGTTGAATTGCTCGATTCCCGGCAACAGACCATTTCATTTCAACGAATTGCGTCACATGACGTCACCGTTAATTATCAACGGCTTAACAACTGTATTTGCTGTGTTGACAACACCCGAGTAAGTTTGCTTATTAGAAAAAGTAATGTTTTTCGAAACATATTCTTTGTGATTCGAAAAAAAGTATTTTAAAGACTCCTAGGTTTTTTTTACTGACAATCTGACTTATTTTTGTAATACTATTATTTTTAGGAATAGCATTTGGGGGTCAGCCGTTTGTGCTTACACTGTTCCGGAAATAGAAAAAGCAATGGATGGAGATTTTATAAAGAGAACATCTAATGATGCTACATCTAGGTGTTGGAGTAAGCACGGACAAAACGCTCCAAAAACTGATCCGCACCCGAGTGCATGCCCTGGAGATGAAGTTGATACGAGTAAGTTACTAATCACAACTTTGAGAAAATATGTTATCATGATCAGACTAGGAAAAGGATTCCACGGGGTACAAAAGGAGCGATTACCATGAAGAATAAATAGTATAGTATCCCAGATCTGCCTTACAATTGCGTTTAAAACGGAGTAAGTTATGGAATTCAGATCGCTGAAAGATATCATTATATACATACCATATTTATCCCATGAAATTTGAATTAAATCATGAATTTGGTGTGGAATTACTTAATTTTGCAGAAAATCAGAGTAACTGGATAAATTTACGTTGGCTATTACTATTAATCAATGCTAATATCAGTATTTCACATTCATTTATTTCATCTTATGTATAATATTATATGTGTTTTTACTTATCTCATCCAAATGAAGTCGATATGAATTTCCTGAGCGTCGATTTCCTTGTTTCTTTCCATAACAATGACCAATCAGGAATAAGTCAACAATGACGTAATATTAGTAATTTATGTAACCACTCAGGCACGTCTTATGCTCGGACAGATATATGGTTGTCAACATTGCATCGTCCCGGATTAGACACAAAAAAGCTGCGATAGACTATAAAATTATCTATTAATACCTGTACGTAGGTACATATTTTTTAACATAAATCGTGGTTTTGAACATATAAACCAGTTTGTAAGCGCCCGCACGCAAAAGAGATCTCCAGAATAAGCATAAAAATATTCGCTACGGTAAAGTATGAAAATAATTTTCCTGGAGTCAAGGGTCGGAAAACATCAATTGTCTTTCTAGTTCGACATGACCAATCCAATAATTTCTTATTCTTTAATTTCTTCCTAATTTTTTATGCTTTACTTTGATTTGCACAGGAACTTTCGAAAACACAGATTTAAGATTTAGGCGGGATCATCCATTCATGAAAAGATTCGTTCAACCTATCACGGACCAACCTTTATTCATGAGAACACAAGCTAAATATCTTTTCTCCGCCATCGACGTTGAAACTGGCTTCATTGACACAAATGGGCGCAACTTAACGTTATTTTATATAGGTGAGTTAGTATCATTACTGATGATGGTGTTTTCGAAGTGCCGTTTCAACACGTATTATTACCTAATTTATTCACATTATATACTTCCGTGCAAGTAGATGCGCCGTACTTTCCTGTTATGGCTCCAACACTAGAGGTCGCCTTTCTCTGCTTATCGTAAGAGGGAATTGTTAGTAAGAAAAATAGAAAAGATGGAGCAATGGCCAATCTAATCTAAGATAAACATAAGAAAGCGGATATAAAAATAAGTCGGGAGAAATAACAAGGTAGCACATACCACAACCCATTTTGTCATCATAAAAATCATAGCAATACCTATTCGGTTGTATTCCATTGTGTTCTGTATATGCGCACATGAGCATTGCGCGCATCCATTCATCTGTCCCGATGCGGAAATAGTATGTGTATATTACGTTTCTAAATTCATCAACAGATTCCGTTTCCTTTTCCGATTTTTTAACGTTTAATAAATTTGTTAATAAGGTGTCACGTCTCAATTTCAGAATCACGCGATATTCACGCGAACATTTAAATTGACGTCATAAGCCTCACGGCAACTGAATACCTTAATAATTTAGTATAGATAACCACAATAATACGAGAGCAGACCCAAATATGAGCATACGATGGGCTCACATTGATGTCGGTACTTAGCTGCGTTTCCGAGCCCAGTGTTATTCAAGGAGATCGGAGGCAGTCAAGCCTGGCGGAATTAAAAACAAAAAATTATTCAAGATTAAACAGATAATTTTAGGTGATCATGTTCCACAAAACTCAAAATTACGACAATGAATAAATGAAGTTTTCTGAATTGACAAAATATTCCCGTTATGTTTCGATGTGGACTTCTCAGACTTAGTATTGTAGGCTACCAGAATATATTAACTCATCATGTGTTTTTCAGGCACAAGCGATGGAAAGCTTTTGAAGGTTTTGCCGCACCCATTCCGAACGAATGATCGACACAAAAAAGGAAAACCGTTGAGAGAGGGTGCATTTATCGAAGAATGGCACGTCTATCACAAGGCCAAGTGCGGAAAACCAGTAGGCAAAAGTCTTAGCGTTCAACAGGATGAAGTAAACAAAGAATGGGAAAATCCGAAGAGAGAAGAGAGGGTTATCGGCGTTAAAGCTATCAAAAACCGCAATTTTGTGATCGTCTCTTTCCGAAATTGCACCATTATTGTACCAAAACAACTTTGCTCCGAAATCACTTGTCGAAAGTAAGTGTGGGGAATAGAATTTGCCAAATACAATATACCTCATCTCGCACATTTCCAGTCACGTCATTGATAACTATTTCATTTTGATAAATTTCATCTATATTTAGTGATCATTTAGTAAGGATTTTTTTTTTATAAATTTGTTGCGTAATTGTGGCTTTGATCTCATAATAATCCTGTTTACTTCTGTGAAATTCTTATAGTTAAATAAGAGCATAAAATATCCACACTTCTGAAGTAGGAACATTATACGAAAATAAAACTTTTTTTAAGAACGGAAAGTGCATAATTTGGTTATAAAATTGGCTACCATCTACATTACCGTGGTAAGACATCAATATTGTCTTGGAATTATTAACCTTCTTATTGCCTTGATTTTTATGACTCATTGGTAACAACTATAAGTTGGGTAATGAAGTGTTAATTTAAATGCAAACGTTAAATTCAGATCATGTGTACAATCTGGGAATCCTTATTGCGGATGGTTGGATGGTGAATGTGTGCCGGTGACACCCAAGAACATGGAAAAAGTTGAGCAAGATCTATTTGGATCCAGAACCGATTTGACTGACTGCGACGATTCAGGATATATTGATGAGAATATGACAGGAGGTACATATTGTATTGAAATAGGCACAATTAATACTCTTCATCAAATTAATCTTACGACGATGTGCTTCAGGGTGGCTGTACCAACACTATTGACAGTAAATATACGCCTGCTGACAAGTAGAAAACGATATGCATGTTTATCCGACGTTTCAAATGTATTTATATATATTTATACATAAGTTAACTTCACCAGATTATCCAATAGCAGAAAAAATGTGATACATGATTTTACTATCTGAGGAGTTAATCGTTTGCAGAGCAACAACAAACCGTGAATGAGTAGAGAAATCGACTATTGGTCTTTAATTGAATAGTTCCGTATATGATTAATTTGCCCAAAATTTTTGACTGCGATTTGATAAAAAAAAACTAACTCCCGTATTGTGTGCACCAGGTTGGGGTTTGGCCATAATTTAATTCCGATTTACCTTAGTTTAGTTCTAATCCGAGTTCGGGGACAGTCTGTGTGAGCCAAATGAATATACTCACAGGCTCCCGTCCAGTTACACAACTTGATGTAAAGTAGGCGAACAAAATTAGTTACCTCCATATTGATACACACACTCCTGGAGCGCACAAAAAACCCAAGCGCAAAAAAATCTAAACTCCACATTAAAATATGTACATGACTGCATGGATTACCGAATGAGACATTTTGAAAACATAATGCGACTAGATATGTATCTTTACTTAAATTAATGTAATTATATTTTCAAACGTTTTAGGGTCATCCATAGAAAAGAACGAGTGTCCGCCAATGTCTGCAGCGGTGTTTGCTGTTCCCATAGCAGTTTCTATAGCTTCGTGCTGCCTACTGATGCTGTTTGTATTTTTTGTCTACACGAAATGCAAGAAAAGGTATCAGACAAAGTAAAAACTTTTTGCACATTTTAGAAAAGATTTGTAACATATTTATTAATCAATGGCATACATGTTAAAACTAGCGGACGTTCTAGTCAACTCTTTTATTTATTATTTTATGTTTTGTTGTTAATTCGTTTATTTTGTTTTGTTAACTAAAGGCGGTACAAGCAACATGGTCACCGGAAACCAAACATTTCTCCAGATCAAAGCTATACAAAGGTAGGCCGAATTTTTTTATATTCACCTATTGGAAATTGTATAATGCTTGTGGGAAACATGCCCACTAACGTTTCTTCAAAATATGTTCGAAGTATAAGTAATTATGCTACACATAAGAAAACTAATTGTATTTCAAGACAGCTTCAAATATTGAAAATACTAGAAACATCAAAAGTATATTTGGATCCTCTTGATCAATTAACATTTTTTCGATACTGAGTGTGAACGTGTCGTAACCTTCTTGACATATTAGTAGACTCATTTATTTAATGGTGCACATTTACATCGACACAGGAAAATATCTCGCACGCTTCTAGAAAAGAACCCAACAGACAGCCAATATATAAAGGTCCTAAAAACAGTAATGGGTCGATGTCTGCAGCATTGACAGCCAGTAGACCTTCATCCTTTACGGGTCAGTCGATACCTGATGGACCAAGTAATAACATAGAAGATATCAGTGAGTCCGCAACAGCAGAATTACGTCAACGGGATGCTTATGATTCCACAGAGTCAATTCCCAGCACCTTTTCGCCTGTAACATCTGACGAAAGCGAACGACAGAATATACCGACAGGATCAAAATTTATGGATCGAACTAAGCACTCTGTCGATAGCAGAGAGGAATATCCAAACTTAAACAACAATAATACAATGAGAAATATCGGGGTCGTTAGTGCCCTTTATCGAACGGAGACCCCAGTACGTCGACGGAGCATTACTAGTCAAGATCAGGTTGAAAGCATGCCCAGAAGGGGTATCCGCATGGGCATTTCATACGGGATAAACTCAAATACGACGACACTAGATCCGCAAGCCTGGAAGCACGATACTTCTAAAGTTCCAAATATCATGTCGATTCCACCAGCATTTTGTGACGACCAGTCGACGGGAAGTTCTGCTAAGCATGGTTTCAATTGGAGGAGCGGAACCTTGCCAAAGCCCCCGACCAGTGGATTGCTTGAGATATCGCCTCAGGCACCTTTAATGGTGTCAAAGTATAGCGAAATAGACAGCGCACAAAGTCGAACATTTAAGCGCGGACAATCTTTGAAAGAGCCATATTACTCGGAGCTACCTCTTGAACCAGACTACGAGAACTTTAAGCAAAGGAAGGCGTCGACACCTGGGGATTTCGGATGTCGTCAGCCTCCAACACCACCGCCTCAACACGCAAAACATAATCGGAAATTTTCGTCTTTCACCACGTCCCATTTTAACACGTCATGGTTTCCAGCACCTACCGTACAAGATGAATTGAAACATATAAAGATCGAAGGACCTGAAGATTTCTCATGTAAGACACCATCGTCTTCATCAAGCAGTGGCATAACAAACTCGGCATCGTTTGCCTCAGATACTGCACCAGCAGACACACAATACGCAGATGAGAATGCGTTTAGCGGGAAATGTCAATCCACAAAAACACGTGGTATTGTACGTTCAGCCGACGAAGGATATGGAAGTGAGTTTGTACCGGGCGAAGACAGAAGAAATGTCAATACCGGCCACCAATTCCCTTCCATTACAGAAACAGATTGCCCGGTATACGACGACGTGCCTTTCGAGAATAACTTTGTTTATCAAAACACTAATTGGTCACCTAGTGACGAAAACAACGTTGATTGGAAAGAGTCGAAAATAAACTTCGCAGATATTAGCAAAACTTGGAAAAAGAAGAAGCAATTTCGCAAAAAGAAGAATGCTGAAAAGCGATCGTTTGTACCTGAACGGCCATCACCGGATCTCGACAACGTCTTCAATACCGAGATGAACTCAACTATGAGTAACTTTTTCACTCCCGTAACCTCCGGTTTTCATGGAACACTTGGACATGCGTTGGATGATAACTTTGTCGAGCGAAATTCACCCGAAATTGGCGAGAACATTCAGCCAAATCAATACGCATTTCACACAATGCGGCCTCCAGGTCGAATGCGACAAAAATTACCAAGACTTAGATGCGGACCCAAGGAATCAGACGCCACGTTGATAGCTGTTCCGACACCAGAAATACCCAAAACTTAGTGTAATCACAGTCTTGTTTTCTGTTCACGCTTTATTTTCTATTTCATCTTGTAAGCGCTCCCCGTGTTCGTAATATAGTTCCAGTGATCTATTGTTTTAAGAAATTTTGCATCGTTTTATGACTGGTTCACCCTTCTACTATAAAGAGACATATTTTATGCAATGTTTTGGCACTTTTTACTTTAGATTTGGTTATAACTGATAACCTCGGTTTTATACGAAAGTATAAGTAATTTATATCCAATGCCTCTAAAGGTTTGACATGATTGAACGTGTTTATAAATCGCTTTGTTCTATATATAGCCTACTGAAATTCTATCTTTATTACTTGTTTTTATTATTGTCCTATCAGTCCGTATTCCACATATATATTACTTATATGATATTTTATATTGTTTGTAAATATATGTCGGCACGTTTAGTTGTTTATTGGAGAAACATGTGTTTGTCTCTTGGGAGGGTTTGTTTGGATCACGTTTAATTCAAGAAAACGTTAGATTTCGTTTCTGGCTCGTTATATCCCAGTTTCTCGAGATGCGTCTGGTTTTCTTTTTACGTCTGGTTATTAATCAGCATAATACCAGGAAAGCAATGCTCAAATATATACGTAGGCCAAATCAATTTTTTCCCACCATTCTAGCCCAAAATCATAATCTTGAACAAAGCTGGCACTGTGGAACAGGCACCGTAACTTAGCCTACAAGAAGTACCCGGACTGTAAGTTTTTGTGATGATCATGCGTCCGGTTTCCATCAAAGTAGATATATATCGTAAGAGATATTATCGGGGGCGAAAAATTCGAAGAGGTCGGTTGCGTATTCTCGAATAGTCAACTATGATTAAAATCGCCGAATGTTTTCTTCAGCGTGACGAGGATATTTGGGCCGTGAACATCAGGGTTATATCGGTAAACTATATTTCACCAAATTCTCCCTATCTCACAAGTTCCCCTGGACATGTGCCAGGGGACGTCGATAAAGAGCTTTTTGATCGTCTGTAACTATGCGTGAAGTGTGAAATTTCCAATGAAAGTGAATATTAAGAATTAAAAGCGGTGCCATAATATATATATGTATATTTGAAACGGGAAAACTAAAAATTTTGATTTAGGGGTGCTGCGACAGAATAAAAGCTGTATTTTAGACGTTGTTAAATCGCAAAATTCCGGAATTTTCGATCGTAAACTATAGTCACCTGAAGTTGATTCATCTCATTATTAATTAAATTACCGCCGGATCGCACACGACCTCTTTCTTTATTGTGATGATAATGCAATAATGTAAAATTATATTGTCGACCTTGGGATTTTTCTATTGGCGATATCTTAAAAATAACCGTGAGCGGCTCAAATTATCGAGATCGGTAATAACGAAATCAATTCTAATCTGGCAGTATACCATATATTTTAATGTACCAGGTTGCAATATTTCAGATATATAATAATTTTATTTTAAGTGAGCGCAACAGCGAGTTACGTTGAAAATAATTAAATTAATATGACAAATTCTTGCTAATACTCGTATCGGTCATGGACCGACTATTCTCGCAACAGAAAAATTACCAACGCTGAAAAAAATCGGCAATTTTAACAAGTGTCATAATGGCGATCGAGGACTGTTTAATCGGAAGTTTCCTTTCCGATTTTAAATACAGAATATAATTTACTGAAAATATAGTTTAGTGCAAGTCATCTGGCATTTTGAGTATATATATAACCGTTAATTCTTACGTTTCTAACATCTTATTCGGAAGAAACGGGGTCATCAAATAATGATTTGAGATTGTACATGATTAAAAAAAAAACTTGTTGAAATCTATCCGTCGATAACGTAAAAAGTGCTATAAGGGGACGACAGTACAAAAAAGTTTGAGAACTACTGGTCTACTGCGCACTGGTATTCAGACCGAAATGAGTAACCGACAAGAAGCGTCAGTCGTCTTTCTTTAGCAGTGATATAGTAACAACTTCTAACATATCCCTACTGAAGTAAATAAGTCTACAAGACCAATACTACTCAACGCATCACTTTATTTTCAAGCGCTTTAAATTTAAAAGCTTCGCCTTGCATTCTTTTATAGCCGAAGCGGAATTGCATTGCAGAATATGAAGTCCTTTCGTAGAAATTACAATCAATTCACTGAGGCCATCACCCGTGAGGTCCTGCAGCATAATATTGACAATAGGATATGAAAACGTTCTTGTCCAATATGGGATTAGTGTTACTGGTTCATAAGGATCGTATGTCTCGCTACTGGGCTCATTAAATTTATACACTAGCAATTCTTGTCCATAGGTTCCAATAATTATATCGTTCACTCCATCGCGATCAATGTCCGCTATCTGACAGCATGTGACACAATCATGTTCCGAACTATTTTCAAGTAAAACTGGAATCTCGAAGCCTTGATCCGCGCAGAAACAATAAACAACTGCATTTTCCCAAGCACTGGTGACTAATAAATGATAAATATTGTGATCGTGATTTGGAAGATCCTGTAATTACATGATACATTATTAAACTTAGCTCAACAAAAGTGATAAATTTCAGTCTATAGAGATTGCCAGCCCTCATAACCGTCACAAATGTTCTCTTTCATCTGTGTGATCTATGAAACAATAATAGAAGGCCTCCGGCACATTAATGTGATGGTGTTGTTAAGTGATCTTGCTCGTCATAACAAATCAGATCTAAGAATAAGCCATAGTTAATCCAACTCTTATGTTTTTTGAGCGTTATGAAACACTTCCTATTGAACCAAGGTTATAACCCTTAAGTTGCAGTGTCGTCACGTAACCGCTGGTCAATTACAGCAAGTCTATGCAAATAGAAAAATTAATCGTTTGATTATTTCCATTCCATCAGTTTTTATTTATTTTTTTTACCAATTATTTTATCGTTATGCTGATTATGGAGTCGAAATAAACTTATACTTATACATTATTAAGGATGGACAATTTGACATATAAAATCCGGATGATTCAATTAAACAACATCCATTAACAGGATTTGGTTTACACCACTTGGCCAATTCGCGGTGACCACCTCAAAAATTTCGCGGCCCAGTTGTATGAATTTCACTTCATTTGAGCTTTTTTCGGCTTTTCTCTTGTCTATGTTAACAATATACTATCCTAACCTTGTACAGTTGTCAATACAAGTCTATAAATTATAGCCAAAGGTTATGCTGAATCAGACAACTATAATAACCCTAATCAATTAATTGATCTACCAAAATATTCATCAAATGATTAGGAAAAAACACCCATGTAGGTAATCCTTACCAATTCTCTCAAGAAAACACATACAAGGAGAGGGAAAGATATAAATACCAAAGGGAAACTGTCCCAAGTCCCAAAATTTTATTTGTTCATATGTTTTTCATTACACATGAATAGGTTATGGGAATGATATCAAGTCAAACAAAAGCATTTTATGTAAATTTTAGCATAAACAGTACTGAAAGTAGATTCATACCTGTGTTGAAAATTTTCTTTTCATGAACTCTGGAATTTTTACTTCAGTATATTTAGTAAATAGCCTGACTGAAGTAATCGGACTATCATGCTGAATATGATATGTAGTCAGTTTCCATTCCTCTGTTGTTAGATCAGTGATGAACAGCGATATGTCACCAGTTGCGTGACCAACTGCACTTATTCGCATCTTCTCATTGTTTGTTATCTAGGCAAGAGTATGATTTGAGCATCACGGATAAGGATTTTTTGGATAAGAAAAATACGAATAACAGTGAATTGGTGAATAGTCATATAAAAATAAAACCCCTTCATACCTTTATGTCAACAAACATTGGAACTCCAGGAAGATCTTTAAACTCAGGGAAATATTTATCTAAAGTTTGTTCTGAAAATTCTCCTTGGTTTTCATCCTGCGCATAAATATGTATTCTGCTGTCTCCACCCAGAACAATAAAAACTGTTTGCAGTAATGCTTCGCAATCTACAAATAGTTGGAAACATGAGATTAAAATTAAACAAGAATTATCATTAACAACCTAATAGAAGAACCAAAGTTTGCAACTATAGTTAGAATAACAATAAGTTCAGGTTAATACAATATGATTTGGGGGGTAAAATTCTGTGGACGCTGTTGATGACAAAAATTACTCTTAAGAACCTCTAGTACTAGTTCAGAAAGTTTTGAACTCAAACCAAGAACGACTTGCAAACAGATATGTCCAAAATGAATCGAATATTCAAAAAATTTTCAAAATTGTTATAACTCATTGTTGGTCTTAAAAAAATTTAAGGATATTTTTATTGAAATATAAAATATATACGCTTCTGCACAATTGGTATTAGATATTTAAACAGCCAGTATCATGAAACATTGGTAACCATAGTAACCAGCAAACTTGATCCTATCTCATTTAAAATATGAAAATTAAATTATTCAAATAGGCTATAGAATTTGTAGTGACTTGTCCATTAAACATTGCCTCTTTCAGAATATATTCGAAAAAAATAATTTCAGAATATTGTTGGTACAGACACGCTGCTTGCAAAAGCCAAAGAACAAATGAACAGAACTGATAAAAACCTTTTCGTGCTCTTGATTTACAGTGAGTGAGCTGGAAGGGTACAAATTCAAGTTCAAATGATCTACAATTCTCTGCAACAGTTTCAAGTTGACAAGAGTCTTTTTCATCTGAAGCATCATAAGTATAATTGCAATAAATATTGAGATAATTTGTCAGCTTTCCATTGGTCTCCTGTGAAAATACAGTGGAAGCGAACAGTTGAATTTTTTAAGATTCTATTTTTAAATTTTGTTGTTGCTAACCTTGGGACTGTGTACTACTTCTGTTCTGGTTAATTTAATGCGGTTTAACCTAATCTTCTTCATTAACCAGGAAAAAAGGCATACCACAACAGCATTAAGATGGGTATATTTAGTCTTCTTCACTAATTCAAGAGACTTGTTTTTTCTCTAATAATGTGACCAAAGTTATGACAAGGTTGAAAAGGACTGAAGTATATTGTTACTTAATTCTAGAGCTCAATTTCAGACCTAAAGCTCAAAAATAAAACACGCCTCACCTTGAAAAACGCCACGGCTATGATGAGACCTCTTGCTCCACATGTAAAACAGTCGATTGAAATTACATGAGCATCCGCTGGTATATATGTGAATGAGACTTCCTTGTCTATTTTCACTAAAGACTGATCAACTTTTTTGTATTCAAATAAAACAATTTTTCCTTTGAGCATCGCAACCATAAGTTTATCCACATTGCAACCATTGATGGCAGTTGCCCCATAAATAGTGGTAAGGCTGCTAACATTGTGGAAATTACTCTCATGGAATAAATCATCCAAAGATGAAGCCATAAATCTGTTTCATATCACACTTGACAATAAATGCTGAAATTTAATAACACCAGTTGTTAAAATACAATATCATGCAAGCATTGCTGAACCCATGAAACTCTTTTTTTATGGTTCCACAATGTTAATTGTTTATCGATGAAAGAAAATATAAAATAATGAATACTGAAATAAGCATACAAAAATAACAAAACAAATACAGTAACAACAGACAGACAAAGAGTTGTTTCATTACAGTCCATTGATTGTATTGTCCATAATATTACATTAATATATCAATGTAGTTTCTATACTGATTGACAAAACGGTACATCATTTATTTTAAAGCATTAATTATTAGGAATTTTTTTTTTAAAACCATTTTGCCATTAGTTTCAATACTATGGATCACAGTATTAAAAATTCACTATTATTTCGCGTTCTCTTGTGAAACTAAGATGATGCCTAAACTTTCTCACTATTCTATATTTCTTCTTGCTAGGTTAACGTTATATTCAATAAGGGACTTCTTAATTTTCGGTATTACGTTGCTAACATCTGGGATAGCATTTTGAGAAATCACTACAATTCTCTCTAACCAAATTTTGTGTCTCACAGTGCAAAATAGCAATATAATAAGTATAAGTAATCAATATGATTGAATTTAGTATTATACGAGTTATATAATTATTTTTCAATACATAATGATTTTGTGTGAAAGGACAGTTTCAAAATATATGAATTGAATGTGGAACAAACTCAGGTTCTTGTGAACAAAACATGGGTGATGATAAGGTTTCTTCATATATTCTTTTTCCTTTCTGCACCACTCCCATCTATTATGGTTTTAAGATTAGGACGGTTCGATTTGGTCTGTTCAGTTACGAACGTCGCTCCACTACGCACTACAACAACAATGGATCTTTACTGCCATCGGGTGTAAGAAGTCGAAATAAACTTATACTTATACTTATTATGAACTACATCAATAATTTAATCTGTAAATAAAAGGATTATGTACATATGTCGATGTCATTTTATATTTCGTTGAAATTAATTATAATATTTTTTTTGCAAATTTTTTATTATCTTTATATGAATTGTTTTATTCGTTTGATTACTTCGATGGGAATATTTACTTTTGTATGTTTACAACAGTTGGTGTGCAACCCAGCGTAACGTCCAATGGGGATTTTTCTACAGGAGGCGGCTGGGATGAATTTGACATCATACTTTGATTTTATGAATTATCATGTTATTTGATTGTATGGAAATTGATGCCGACTCATTATAACTCAATAATTCAAAATGTCGACCGAAGCATCGGATGATGATATTCTGAAAAACGTTTTTCAGCTCCGAGAACGATTGATGCGAACTGAAAATTCTTTGCAGAAAATTAACAAACTCGCAGAAATGTAAGTTTACTTTTCATGGTTTCATTTTCAAAATTCAATTTTTATTACTTCAAAATATTGAAATGTTTCATTTTTAATGTTGAATAATGACTTCATTTCAAATAGGGATGGAACAGAAGCAGACACTGGTGTAAAATTGTCTTTTTCTGAGCCATATTTCCATCTTGAACCAAATGATTCTGTCAATTTACCTCCACCTTTGACTTTGGATGATCTTGGGGAACTTACAACTCATGATGAAACTGATTACTCACCAGTAAATGAAAGTGTCTTGCGCCAGTGGAACATGAATAATGAAACCAAAATTGAGAGCCAACATTCAAAAGCATTGAGCAGAGCAAGGTATACACCATGTGCCATGTCTGCATGTGGTAGATTTATTATATGCGTAGTGTTACAGTGTTACCCAATTCTGCAATTGCAATATAGTTAGAATATGTTTGTTTGAAGATATTAAATAAGGAAAATACAGCGGCCCAGAGTGATGATAATTAATTAGTAATGACTCTGGTGTGATACATTGTGCTAAGCGTTAGGAATATGGTTGCCACCAAATAATTGGCTAACTAATCCTATACATGAAATGAACCAGTATCGAATGAGCGGCCGGAGTTCACCATATAATTCAGCCATCTTATCAGCTTTTCTCTCTCCTGGGATAAATTTGTAAATCCTTTCCTAAGGATGATTCCATTTATTTTGAATATAGACTATCATTATAGAATAAATGAAAAATGTCACAAAAAAAACAACGTTTAGATTTTTAGTCTTTAAATTCCCGAAATTCTCAATTCTGCAAACATTTGTGCATTTAATACAAAATATTTTCTGTAACTTTATGTGATGCTTTTGCTTTGCCTGTAATGAAGGTATATTGCTATTGTTGCTTGTTGATGTTGCTGAAATTTTCATAGTTTTATACAATGTATTATGTCAATACCAGTTACAACACTCCAGATGATACTATCTGACTTGGATGTAATTGTTTGGTTTCTTGTGTTCCTTTTATATAGTTATTTTCTTCTATTGTTTTGTGTTGTAATAGAGATTTGAGGTTGAAATTAAGTAATTAGTGATAATCTAAAATGAGATTCGATTTCGGGAAAATAGAACTATTTTTGTTTGAATATTGCTGAATGACAGGTGGCTTAATAGTTAAAGTGTTAGACTTAACTATGATGGTATTAAAGGCTATAATCTTGGGTTCAAATCTCATCCTCACCATCTCACTCGGTGTAATATTGTGTGGTCCATGCGCATGCCTAACTGTAAAGATACCCTTTACATATCAGTGGCTGCTTGTTCTGAGCCTTGTTCACTAGGAAGTTGTATAAAAAATTGTGTCAGGTTCTATGAAAATAAATTCGACATTTTGTCACATTTTCCATAATTTATAATTTAAAAATCTGTTTGGTATTAAATATATATAATGACCGAAATTATTTAGATATGAATTAAAATTATATTCATTAATTTCTGGTTCAATTTGTGTTCGATTTCAAATATATATTATGTTCATCATTGTGAATTCTTTTTAGATCTCCATCTCCTGAACATATCTTGAGAGTAAGTCAAGGCTCTCATCGTAGTAATGAAACCTCACAACACAGCTTTAAAAGAAATCTCAAAAAACAATTTTCACCACGAAAACTGATGGGCCCTTCAACGTCTTCACCCAATTTAGCAAGATATGGAAGACATGCTACTCGTGCTTACAGTTGTGATGACCTAACATCCGCTACAGATATGAGAGAAATTTATGTTGCAGACAGTTACAGAATGTTAAAAAAACCTAGCGTAAATTCGGATTTCTCTGTCTCTGCTCCAATATCTCCAAGGTATTATCTATATGCGTTGTCAAATTTTTGTATTCAATATATTGTGTTTGGATTGCAAAGTATTTATAATTAACAAAGCATCTTTAAGTAAAAATATATATAAATCAGTAGATTGTGTTCAATCAAATTCATCATATTCCACAATCTTTAACAATCTGACTTTGAGTTGCACTTAGGCAACAAAATTGATCATGCAGGGATAACATGATATGTTATAGTGGGCAAGGATGTCTATATTTAATTGAATACCGGAATACATCTAAAATTGCTTTATATTATTATAGTAAATTCTTTACTTTAGGAACGACATCAAATAGTTTCATTTGTATCTTTTTTTATGTGTGTGATTGACATCTGATGAATATGTGAAAAATAATCTTTTCCAAAACTTAAATGTGGAATTAAAGCAATGATTCTTCTTATGAACATAGTGCAATTAAGTGAATTTTTTGGTTGAGAGTTGCAGCCATCCTTGATTATGTCTGTTTTTCCCTGTAACATGTCTTAACAATGTGTTTGCAAAACAAAGCTTGATTTAAGATTTTCCATTTATAAGATTCTCATATGTAAATTGCTTTTTTTGATATTTTGAGCTACAAAATCTCTGAATTGCTTTTTTTATTTTTCAGGAAAAGTAGGTCTACCTCTAGTCATAACCGCAACTCATCTACACAAGCCAATGATCTTTATCACAATTCTGGATTATTTGAACCAATTCAAGGAATAACAGCTGATTCATCAATATCTGCTCTTGCTAATTACACTCTGACAACTCCTAGGAAATCACCAAGAAATAACGAAAGTGCTGATTCCACTTTGTTGGAGCAAACAAAAGAAAATATAACCCCTAATAGAGTAAGTCAAATTTACAGCTAAATTTGATATGGGGCCTGAATGTGATAGTTGGATATTGTGTTATTGAGTTGGAAATTGAATGTGTTATATTTTTATGTAGAAAGATCAATCAAAATTGTTGCACAAGGCATGTACAATTGTAAAAATACCTGAAAAACTTTTTTTCACTTTTGTAATTTCCGTGATTTAAAACAAAATTATATATCTATGTGTTGAACTAATCATATCATCTTCATCAACTAAATTACTAGATTTGAAAATGAAATCTTTATGGCATCTCTCTTCCAGGCATATTCTGGAAAGGGATACCTTTTCGGATTAGGTTTTTGAGTAGCCTGAGGTTCAGTGTGCATTTTCATGAATCAGGAACTCTTCTGGGCTGAAATTTCCTACTATTTGTTTGTTTTTATATTTAAATAGATCTTATGTCACAGTTAACTTTAGTTAATAGAGGCCACAACTTATTGAGGAAAACTTTTTTCGAATGATGATATCAAAGAGACTGTCAATAAGTATGATCGCAATTGGTTGTGCTGAGCTCTATGCTTGTTATCGGATCACCCTGCCCGAGTCCACAAATAGAAACCTGTGGAGGATAATTATATTCGAGACAACTATTCTCATACCCGACATCGACTGGTAACCGTACTAGAGACTGTGGTTTAGTATGTCCTATTGGATTTTTTCTCACCTGTAGAAAATATGAAATTTCTATCCTATGATATAAACTCATTCATTTCAGCCTATATCAGCGAGATCAAATGCAACTTCAGTTACAATGCTTGGTGCGGAAGCTGAGAGTGAGAGATTGCAGAGTAGATTATCTATGTTGAGAGAAGATAATGAAAGACTTCATTCGCTTGTATCTGACCTTCGAAGACAACTGGAAATTGATCAATCTAGAAAAGTAACATACATTATTACAAATATGATATTGCAATTCTAATAAACCCATAGAATTGATACTTTCTTAGATACTTTAGATACTTTCTTATTCTCTCTTGATTAAGTTTGCATGAGGGGCAATGTTAAAAGTTAGTTTCTTACTATATCATCATGATTACTGCCTTGGTATAATATTGAGCAAACAAGATATTTATGTAAATTTAGTATGTGGTTAAAGTTCACTTTATTTTATTTCTTTTAGTTTTTGTGTGTCTGGTAGTTGACTGTCACACAGCTATTCAAAAATCTCAGTCTCCCAGAATTTGTTATATATTTCTAATTATATTAAAATTTTGTTTTTTAGAGTGGTAATGACATAAGAATGATAGAAAAAATGAGAGAACAAATCCTTTCATTGAAAGAAGAAGCAGAAGCCAGTGAAAAGGCTTTGAGGTATAATGAAAAAACATTCAAATTTCTTGATGAGTTTTATGCTTTATTGGGAATAATATTTGTTTAAATTATTTTTTGTTAAGGTTTGTTCTTCATTGTACAGACAATTAAAGGTGTGCATATGTTGAAGCAGGGGTGTGCAACCTTTAATACAGGAGAGCCAGATACAAATAACTTGGTGAAACTGGGGGCCACACCTTCATTTAACATAGTCTTTCTAGTAGTTGCAGGGAAAAATATTGAGCATTCTAACGTCAGGCATAGATAATAATTGGACTCAGGTGTAGGCTTCCAACACAAAAGGATTGGAATTATTAGCATGTGTTAGATTAAACTAAATTAAAAACTCTTTTCGCGGGTCAAAGGCGATTCAAAATTGGCACTTCTTCGTGGGCCGCACAATCTTTCCTTGTGGGTCGCAGGTTGCACTCTGTATTAGATTATTTGTGGTCAAATTTGTTTTTTAATGTAGTTAAGAGTTTCATTTTTGGTCCAAATTTTTGTTAACCAGGAGTCTGAATCATTGTGTAAATGGATTGGAGTAGATTTTTTATGACGCAAACTCAAGCATGTTATTTTTTATACAACACATTCATATGTGTTTTGCTCTGAACAAGGCTTATCACAAGCTGTCACTGCTATTAAAGAGCCAAGATATCTGGGGAGGATCGATATCTTTCTGGTTCAGCATTGCTGACCCAAGTCATCACATCCTGGGTGAGTGGGTGGGCATGGGGTTTGAACTTTGAACCCAAAATTTCAACCTATGATGCCATTGTAGTTAAGTCTAACTAATGCATTAGCCCAGGGATGTGCAACCTTTAATACCGAAGGGCCAGATATCAAGAACTGGATAAAGCTGTGGGCCGCACAAAAATTTTGGTTATTGATATAATTACATGTGTTGTCCGCTTCGCACAAGCTAGCTGTTAGAGCATTGTGAGAGATTGTAATTACCCCCACATACCAGATTAAACTAAATTAAAAACTCGTTTCGCGGCCGCACACCATTCGGAATTGGCAATTCTCCACTGACCACCTAATTTTTTCATTGTGGGCCGCATGTGCACACCCCTGCTTTAATCACCAGGCCACTTTTCAATCTTAATCAATTTGAAGATTTCCAGGGAAAAGCCAATTTAAACAAATCACTTTATTTGAATGTTCATATAGCAAGTATTTGGCTTCATCTTAGAATGTGCTGTCAATTATAAAATCTTTCATTATCATTAACAAAAACCTGTACTATATATTCAAATGATTTAAAATAAGTTTCTATTTTTTCGAAGACGAGCCGAGGAATCACTGGAAAGATCTGAGATGGTTTGTCAGAATAAAATTGACGATGTCATCAGTTTAAAAGATGAAATAAGTCATTTGAAATCGTTGTTAACAGAAAGTGAAATGACGAAAGAAAGGTAAAAATGTTATGTTTGTTTTTGTTAGAAATTTTTTTGTTTTTAGAACTTCATTTTGGGTTTTTCTTCCCTCTAGCTGGTGTATAAGAGGTTACCCTACGTACATTTGAACCCATGTGTATATCCGCAGGTTCAATCTATATGCGGGTGCTAAAACCCATGGGTTTGGGTTAGTATGGGTTCAAATATCCGTAAAACAAAAAAAATTTCCATAGGTACAATAGTATGCAGGTGCAATTGTCTGGGGTTCAAATGTACGTGGGTTCAAATGTAATGGAACCGTATTAGAGTATGGACTTCATTTGTCAACTTGCATCTGCTGCCATCTTTATAACAATAATAGAGATTTATATATCATTTTTCATAATACAAGAGTGAAGATAACAGTTGTGATTTAAGAGTCTTGTTACACACTAACACAAATGTATTTCTGTAATGTTTCGTCTCACCAAGGTCAGACTTTCTCACACATACCGTAAATAATCTTGAATCAAAACTGTTATCTTCACTCTTGTATTATATCCTTGTATTATATACCTACGGATCCAAAGACGCAAAAGGCAAAATCATAGAAGAAGGATAAGTAGTTAGTCCCGCAGAAACCAAGTCGATTGTTTCAGATAATTATTTTCTAATTTTTCTCAAACTAAAGATATGTTTAATCTTTAAAATTACCTAAATAATGCCTATTGTAATATATATATTTCAGTGCCACTAAAAACTATAAGGAAGCCTATCAAGATGCACAAAGCCTTGCCAGTCAAGTAGGTAACCTGGAACAGAAGCTGTCCAATGTTAAGAAAGAAAATGATAGAGAAACTACTCAACTCCAACAACAAATTAGTGGATTAGAAAAATTTAAATCAGAAATAGCAGAGAAAGCAGCTAAACTTCAACATACTAATTCTCAACTACAATCTGATCTTAGGTAAAGTTCTTTTTTAAACTGACTTTTCTGACTTTTATAGTCAGTGGGTAAATAGTTTGGTATAAAGCAAGGATTCACTCACTTGATTAGGGAGTCTGATCACTGAGATAGCTTACTGAAACCGGTGTTTTATTAGGTGGTAGCGAATACCAGATGCAAAAACAAATTCTCCGCTTAATTTTCAGTCTAATTAGTGATACTGAATTTGACTGAAATGTGTGACAGAGACTTGTTAAGAAATGAAAATGTCTTTTGAGATTGAGATTGAAATTTGAAAGCAGCATTTTTTTATTATTTGTGAAATAATACTACATAACAGTGCTCATTATGATCTATTGTGAAAAGGTAAATTAGTATGATACTAGGTTTCATCCATAGTATAAGCTAAAATTTTTACCAAAAGGCTGGTCCTCTTAAATTTTTTCATATTTTCCATGGCTTCTTTGGGTGTTTTTGATTTACCCCAAATTTAACTACTGTATTTTAAACAACTGCATTGCCACAACGATTTCTCACTGTTATATTTAATCAGTCTCACGCTCAGACATCATACATTCATACATTTTGAAAGCAGATTAATGTTACAGCACTGCATGTTCTTTTATTTCTTCTTTAATTTTTTGATTTATCATTGATTTATTTGAATGATACCAACAGTCCGAAGCCATACAATTCCATTTTTATATCCAAGTGTTTTATCCTTAATTATACCATAATTACCATAATTTATTGGACTTCTTTACTTACAGGTATGAAGATGTATCCTTCACGGTGAAGTAAATTTTTATGTGTTTGCATTATTTTAGAAATGCACTTCTTCAGATTGAGTCAAAGGAAACTAAAGTTAATGAAAGAGACACAGAGAAACTTCATATATCGCGAGCATTACAAGACTTACAGTCAAGATTTGCTGATTTGAGGAGTAATTTGAAGAAAAAAGAAAATGATTTTGAAGTATGATTATCAGGATTATGGAATTGGATTTGAGTGGAAGAAAGTCTATTGTCATTTTTATATTTTCTTATGCAGACGTCTCAATTTCTTCCTGGATTTCACTGGGGTCCAAGGACTCCAGGATGAGAATTCCTTGGTCCTATTGGACAATGTCATTCTTTATACTGGAAAATTGTTTCCCAAACATGCATTTATCCCTAGTATGCATGACTTCTCACTTGTTTAACCTACTCCTAAATTCTTGTCTTCAGGCTGCTGATAATGAACGAAATTCACTTCGGAAACAACTGGATACGTTTGTTCAAACAAATCATTTACAGCAAGATAGATTGTCGTCATGCCAACATGAATTAGAAGAATATAGAAATCAAATAACAAAGTTAGAAAACGAACTTAGAAAAAGTAAACATGAGGTGATGCTGAAATTTTGAAATATAAAGTAACCGAATCAAGGGTTTTATTTAAAGACTATAGGGGTGAAGGAAAAAGTGCTATTTGAAAGTATTACAAAGAAATAGGTGCTTTTCAACTTGGTATTCAATCATAATTTTAAGCAATATTCACCAAAGTATTTCTGTGAAAAGTTACAGGAGTTTAAAAATCAAAGATATACGTTCACTTTTTTTTGCTTGAAACTTTTGGGTTGATGCTCTTGATATGCCATCTACCTTTACTACCTTAGATTTTTCCATTCAGTACTCATCCTTAATAACTTTGCTCAGAGTTATGTCTTTTTACTACTGAAGTTGTGTGCTTAGCGTTAGGAATACGATCGCCACTGCACCTCTGATTACCATTCTTGGGTTTGTACTTTGAAGGATCAAATCCCATGCGGGGATAGAAATAGCAATAAATGATACTTTGAAAACAACAGGTTTTAAACAGAATGGCTATATATTAATAGCTAATGTGTGAAACTGACTTAAATGGTTTACTTGCTATTGTTTGATGGCCATTCTATTAAAGACTGTTATATTCAACTCCAAATGCTTTTAGGTGTGTGTTCTCTACTGAATATATGATATCATTCTTAGCAATAGTTCAATTATTTTGACATATAATTCAAATAAATTCATTTATATTAGCAGAAATATCATGGAGGACCAGTTGACAGTGGAAGAGGTGCAAGTGTTACGTTTAGTGATAGATTAACACCAACAAATGATTTAGGTAGTTGATTTTTCTTTCAACCATATTACTAATATCATTACAGAGAATATTTATCTGGTGTACTTGGTTAACTACAAGTTTTCATCACAGTTAGTTTCCTGTTGTGAAGGTGAATTTTTGTCAGAGGTCTCTGTGAATCAATACTCTAATCCAAGTTATCCAAGATATTAGGCAAAGACATCGAATCGAGTATTGAATATTTTTTTTACTTGGCATCTCTAGCTAGTCCGTAATACCTAGATCATGATTTGAACTTGATTTCACTATTACGGTAATTACTTTTTTGTTACATATTTTACTGTATATGACTCCATTCGGTGTGACACGGATGAGGAACCTGGGGGGTCATTCATTTTTATTCTAGGGCTATAGGAATAGGTGCCGAGACCCCTGGACCTTCGTGAAGCTTTCCTCTTTCTGATATTGATTGATTACTTTTATCCTATATTTGGTAGATTCTCTGATCTCCCATCACTCTTTGAAATTTTTTTCCTTCTAAGACTGGAATCAAACATACTTTTTTAACATAATGTTGCTTTCCAGTTGTGCCGCATCACCAATCCGCTCAATCACGATTTCTTTTTAATTCATCAGATAATTGTCACTGTGAAACATCACCTAGAAAACAAAAAGCAATCATAGCAGAAATGAAAATGAAATTAGCAGCAAAAGAAGCTCAAATCCAAAGACTCGAGGTGAGGGATATACTCACTCACTAGAGCACCATTTCAACATCCATATTTTTATTAAATTAACATGTATTTGCACTTCCTTGATTTTATAAGTTAGTTCAATTCAGTTAGACTAAGATTGGAATCAATTCTTAAAAACAGACTTTCAATAGCTCAGATTATTGAAATTGTTTTTGTTTTTCAAAAAAAAAAGAGAAATACAAAAGATATTGATCAGTTTGCTGTAGTTGTGTATGTTGACAGAAACCACTTAGGTATCAAACTCTTCATGAGATGTTTTGTACCCTCACGGCCTCACCTGAAATACATCACCAACCTAATGACTAGGTCTTTGTGTATATTTCTTATCTGATACATCCACCAAGGTTATTATTGTTGTTTTAAATGTAGGCAAGAGTCAATAATTTTTCGATGGAAGCTGAAAAGTTGGAAGGAATACGAGGAGAACTTATAAATGTTGTTGAACGATCCAGACTAGGTTTGTATAACGCTTATTATATCGTGAAGCTTTCAAATTTCTTCATCTATGTATAAATTTTTTGTAAAATTTGTACAATAATCTAATTGAGAATTCTTCATCGTTTTTTTCAATTGTCGGTTTATTGCATGATTTATATGATGAATTTTAACTAAACTGCTTTTATTTATATTGCAGTGTTTTAATTAATTTCAATTGGAATTAAATTAACTGTACTTATGCTTAATTAATAATGTTCTATTCTGAAACCAAATTTTCAGACACTTTCTAATTTCATGGTAATCTTCTGTGCTAATACTTCTACTTGCTTGTAGGTGATAAACGAGCTCATGAGCTTGAAGATATTGTTCATAAGTTGGAAGATGAAAGGTCAAAGATCACCAGACAGGTATTTTGATTTCCTTCGGTTTCCATGAATTTGTTGTTTTATAAAGCAAGCTCTGCAACAATGGAATATTTTTCGATTTCATGCATGCAAATTTCGTGGATTCCTCAAAATGTGTATGTATGTACCTCTGGAAATCCATAGATTTCTGTTTAGGAACTACTTCTGAAAGTGAATCATACAGTAATCATACAGTAGAATCATACAGTTACCAACCTTTTCGAGGCCGATGGCTACTTTCTGGGTACAGATTAAGCCGCGGGCTACCAATTCAATGTATACTTCTAAAAAGTCGCGGCTGTGTGGCCATCGTTAGTGTGCTAAGCGTTAGGTTCGCAAGTTAGAATCCCATGCGAGGATAGTTATGTGCGAGAGAATTGCTAGACCCCTTGCCGCTGTTGAGATGGCTTCCTTCGCCATCAAGTCCATGTTTACGAAAACAAATAACTAACTAATCCCATACCCGACATGAAATGGTAACCGGACGAGAGGCCTTGGTTCGCCATATGGTTAAGCCGTCTTATCGACTATCTTCTCCCCGTGAAATATCTTTTTGCTTTGCCGTCGCTACAATCGCCCCACAAATGAGACACGCGTAGGGTGTTTTCATGGTGGTAAAAATATATCCACCCCCATTCATCGTGAAAATGGTGGGTTTTTCTGCCATTTTTATTTGGAATCGATAATTATATTATTGCTGCTTCACAAACCAACAGACAAGAAAAAGCGCGGGTTCGTGGTAAGTGATATCAGTGAGATGTCATAATTGCAAGAGTATTAATTGACCCGTCACATTACTGAGATCAAATAAAAATCAGGTTGATGGCTACAATAATTAATATAGTGCCATTCCCGTTTCCCATATAAGTGTGATTTACACAAGAATAGCAGGACAAAATTTAATTGATGTAGCTTACTCATAAGCGCCGGTATTAAGCTTAGTTTGGAACAGACCTGTGGGCGACTCATATGGTCTTCACGGGCGACTTGGTGCCCGCGGGCAACGTGTTGGTGACCCCTGCAGTATAAGATACATTATTTATTACCTCTTGGTTGATGTGTTTGGTATAGATGGGGTTGTCATTGTGCAAAAGTAGATACTTTTCATGAATTACGTACTATGCTCAGTTTTATTTTCAAAATATCACGAATTGTTCTTTTTAGTTGATGGAATGTGAAGATCATTTGAATGACAAGAAATCTGAATGTGAAAGTTTGGAATCAAGATTAAATGAGAGAACAAGGAATTTAACAAAATTGCAGGTAAATGTAAAATCTATATGTATAATATAGATAATATAGATAATATAGATATATATAAATAAATTTGAACCTTTGACCCCAAACAGCTTGTAAGTTAATTGCTCCAACTTTATTTTAACTTGGTCTATCCAATGTATGGATCTGTTTTAATTGCACCATTGATTAGATGTATCTGTCGAAATTTTTCAATTCTATTTGAAAAATTACTGTAAAATCATAGGCTTAACAGAAATGATATACCGGTAATTTTATTTTATTTTGTGATTTGGTACAATATAAAAAAAGGTTTAAAATGGGTGAGAAATGCTTATATAGAAATTTAAATAAGATCTGGTCCAGAAAAACTGATAAACATACCTCTGATTTTTTTTTGATTGTCTGTATATTGTTGAATTTTGGCCCATATTTTTCATTTAACATCACTGAGATTAAAATCATCTTTGTTCTTTAATCTGATATAGTCTGAGAATGATGAGCATCAAAAAAGAATATCAAAGTTTGAATCGGATTCCAAAAATAATGCAACAAGAATCTATGATCTTGAGAGAGAACTTGGAAACAAGGTATATGTATGTTTATATGTATACTGAGAAATCATACTTGAGCAGACTGTTTTTTCACTAATTGGTTTTATAGCTTATCTGTTATCAAAGGAAAGGAAGATTTTTTTTTTAAATTGGACATTTTTGCCTTCCAATTTTTATTCCAATGTGAATATATTTTTGTTTTTATTCAGACTCAAGAATGTGAGTCAAGATACACAGCATTACAGAGAGCTGAAGAGGAAATTGCTGAGAAAAAAAGAGCATTGGACAATGCTGCTGAGTGGACAGGAAAACGAGAAGCAGAATCTAGAAGAGAAATGGAAAAAATGAAAAAAATTCATAAAGAACAACATGAAGAAATGGAGGCACAAATTGAAAAAGTATGACTACCCTGTAAATAGATAACACCATTTTTATACGATTCTTATACACACATTTTGCTTTGAACAAGGCCCTATAGAAGCAGCGCTTTGTATGTCACGATATGTAAAGAGTTACTTTTTATTTTCGAAGGACCATGATCTTTCCGGTTCGGCATTGCGGACCCAATTTGACCCTGAGATTTGAGCCCGAAATTGTAATCGGCGATATAAACACAGTCAAGTCTGACGGTTTAATTGTTAGGTTATTTTGTCGCCCCAAAATTTAACAGATTCCTGTGCTCAGATTGGATTAAATTCAAAATATTGTGATTATCTTATTCAAAGAACTGATTTTTATCGCGATCCTACATATTTTTTTACAGATTATGTTTTTATGGTTCGGTATTGGCTAACCACCATTTAACTTTGGGTGAGATTTGATTTATCCAAAATGCATTTATCTAATAAGTTATATTTTGAACTCAGTACTACTATTTTATAAAAATAACGATAAGTCATTTTATCCACATGGAGAGGAAAGCTGATAAGACAGCTTAATCATATGGCAAACCACAACCTCCAGACATGGACTGGTAACTGGACGAGAAGTTGTGGCTTGTTAGGGATGGGTTAGTTGGTCAGTTTCAAATTGTGGACTTCATGAAGGAGAAAGCTGTAACCAACCAGCGATTATGTAAACCATACGGTACCCTACGACGGCGAGAATTCCAGCAATCCTTTCATGCATAATTATCCCACTTGAGATGCGAATCAGTGAACCCACGTGGGGTAATCAGAGGTGTAATAGCAATCGTATTGTATTCTTTGATAATGGTTATTTTTATGCACAGACGCATCAGAAGAAAAATGACACGTCTGAATTCTTCCTCTTTACGTAATAATTTTGTTCTTTATTTTACAGTTACTATCTGATTCAAATCGTTATCGAGAGCAAGCGAGAGAGTTGGAATGTGTAAGTTGTCAGTTACGAGATGAGAACGAAATTGTTTCGAAACGTTTAAAAGCTGTGACTTGTGAATTACAAGAAATCAAAAATCAGGATGAAATTGAGAAGAAAAATGATAAGGAAGCTTTGGAAACGCTGGAAAGAAAAGTAAGAGTTTTTCAATAATAATTTGGAACATATTCTAGTGTGCAGAGCATCCGAGATTACTGAAACTTTTGTGTACAGTTATACACAAACAGAAGTCAAGTGTTTTTGTGTTAAAAAATTTTCTTCATTTTTGTATAAGTAATCAGGAAATTTGGGGGTTCAATTTTCACAGGGTCACCATGCATATTTTTTTTTGTCACTGGATGAAATGGGATATGCAATCTGAAGCTTTATTATGTATTTATTATTTTATGCTCACCAGTGAATTATTAAAGCTCATTTCTATCATACTAAGACTGCATTTATTGATTTTGTTGTCTTGAACCTCTGGGAAGAAGTTTCATAAGGAAGTCTTTAGGGTCGTACGAAGCCTTCAGTTAAAACCTCTATAAATGCATTTTAGTAACAAAAAATTCAGAGTTCAAGACTTTTGAATACCATTAAGAAGTGGACACAACATACTAAGACTTCGGTTTCAATGAAATATAAATTAGTTGTATATGGAGAATTGTGTTTCTCGGAAATAAATTAAAATGAAGTTCTATATCTGTGTGATGATATTCATTTAACAATATTTAAAAAAAGAGAAACTCCTGGTTAAATTACTTAACTACCGGTAATTAATCTCATTCATTAACCCTTTCCGTGCGGTGGGCACGTATACGTACCCACGACAAAACTCGCTAGATTGCGGCGGGTACGTTGATGTACTCCACTGTTTTATTTAGCAACCGGTCGCAAACTGTTGGTCTAGTTTTTCCGGGTTTTAGTTTATTGATAAGAAGTCTTCTTCGAGATTAACATAAGCGACGGTAAATCTCGCTTTCGTTTACCATGGGAATTTTATTTGCGGCGGAACGAGGGAGTGTTTTTGAAATTTATGCAAATTTCGGTGTTATTTGGGTGGTAATAGAAGACATATTATCTTTTCCATCTACCAAAGTATTTTGAGTTAGATAACGAAATTGCTACAGCAATATTATGCTATTGTTTGCCAACCAAGAAGCGGTAACAGTAAAGGATTTAGCAAATATTTCTATTTTTTATCACAGTTTGAAGTTTCAACACCCAAGAAAAAAAAAATGCCTTTTTTCTATCCGGTTTGTGACTCAGACCACCCCTTTTATCGATCGATTAGTTGTGGGGGTACAAATGCATAAAATCGGCGTAGTAAATACGATTATTTTATAAAAAATAAAAATCGCATGGAAAGGGTTAACATTTTGGGTGCTAGAAAATTTCCTTTTCGAAATGTTCCAAACATGTAGTGTTTATTTTTTTCATGGATATTCTACTGATACAAAATTCAACTCTGGCCCTAACCCTTATAAAAGGCATTTCTCGGTGTAATTTTATATTTTGAGTTTTTTGACGCCAAACTTATGATACAGCTTTTTGATTTTTCTATCATTCTAAATTTCATTTCAGGCAAAAGAAAGTTCTGAGCAAGTGGTTTCTCTTCAATCTGCATTGAGTCAATGTAAATTAGAAATAAGAAATTATGTTGATCAATTGGAGGAAACCAGCAGTAAATTTCAACATCAAATGAATGTCAAAAATAGTCAGGTAATTGATCTGGTATTTTTAAGCCATTGTCTGCTATTGCTGACTCAAAATAGGTGTATCTGTACTGTGATACTGCTGCGATAATGTACAAACCTATTTTGATCTTTAATCAAGGTTTTGTATTTGAAAATCTTGCTTGGTTTGTTTTTCCATTCCATAATCCACAACACATTGTAATTAAATTATCATTCACGATTCAGCCTCAACGATCAGCTGCCTATTCTTATTGATGGATAAGGCAAATCAACAAACTAAGTTTGCTTTTAATTAATAAGTTTTTGCGATCTTGCTTCTAATGTTTTATCAGCAGTAGAACATACAATGAATCTTAAAATTACTGATTCATTTTTGGTGGATTGAATGAGTACAGACAGGGTGACAAAAAAACAGAATCCATAAATTTGTTAATTACTCCTACAAAAACAAAGAAAAGTTATTAGACGCTTGAACTTATGTTTGTGTATGATTATACTCAAAAGTGTCAGAAGTACACGTCGCTTTGCACCAAAGTTATATTCTCATTAAAAATATGTTCCGAATGACCTCATCGGCATTGGACACAGACAGCTGCGCAATTCAAGTTGACATATTCAGCATTCAGTACAAGGGGTAAAAAAGAACATGAATTATTTTTCAATTTGTAATTTCCAGCATCATTTCCAAGAGTTTATAAGTTGCAAAAATCCTTTGAGATTTTTATATTCATCCAGGGGAAGATGAAAGTCAAGAAAACAGATCCTCATCTGCACAATTCAGCAATTTTCTTGGCCGTTTTCTTCTGGGGGATATAAACCTGTGAACCCATGCATGATTTTTGGATCATTGCTTTGATGGCAAACATGTTCCTAATGCCCAACATGACATGTCAACTGCCATTTATCGCTTTACGACATATTTTTATTCTTTTTTTCAGGTTTTGAAATATGAATCAGAATTAAAGATAACCAGAGAATCATTGCAATCTGAAAACCTCCATGTACAAGCTCTTGAAGTCAATCTCACTGAAAGACAAAAAATGTTGCAACAAGCATCCGACAGAATTTCTGAACTTGAAGATTGTCAATCGTGCATGCAATCAAAGGTAACTTTGTTTGTTTATAAGTTGTGGTGATTTTTATTGGAAAATCTTCAAATTATATCTGCTCAAATTTGGTTCAGTGGTGTGGCGCATTGTGCTGAATGTTAGGAATATACTTGCCACTGCACCTCTGATTACCCTGTGTGGGTTCACAAGTTCGAATTTCGTGGGGGATACTCATGTGCTAAAAGATCGCTGGACTGCTCGCTGCTGTAGGGTGATTCAAATAACCGATGGTCGGTTACGGCTTCCTCTACCACCAAGTCCATGCATGTGTAACAAAAATAAATGGCCGACTAATCCTATACCAGACGAGAGGACCATTACCTTGAGTCGTCCTATCGGTTTTCGTTTACCATGGGATTAATATTTTAATCCTATCCTATATTTCTGTCTTATGTCAAATCAGGGGTGCAGCCAGTGGAGGGGTTATGAGGGTAGTAACCAGTGGTGGGATTCAGCCGGTTCGTTCCGTCTCACGGAACTTTATGAGATCAGCGAACCGGTTAGCATTACTGGTTACTGTTAATGAGTTTTTGTAACAGAACCGACTAAAAAATATGACATTTGTAATTGAATCCCACGACTGCTCGTAACCCCCCCCCCCCCCTTTTGAAAATTTTAACACCCGGCGACCATCGACCAAATTTTAACACCAATTAACACGACAGACTTTTAATCGCCTTTACGGTATCAATGAATATAAAAACGAGCAGAACATCATTCTGAAAATAAACTTATTCATCTAGTCTAGTTAGTCTATTATAATACGGTATGAAATGGCGTAGAAATGAAAACTGTGTCCTTTGCAGATTGGAAAATTGGAGCAACAATTAAACAGAGTGACAATGAGATCAAATCAAGATAGAGAGCAATGGGAAGGAAAAATACAATCTGCATGTAGAGAACTAGAAGCTAAAAATCAACAATTCACACAACTCAACGATGCACTCAAGTAAGTCTGCCATCACAATGTCCAGATAGAAATACCAAGCCACACCCTGGCCAATTAATTTTTTTGAGGTCATATGTCAGTAGCTATTAATGTGTGAATGGGCACAGCTAGGAGTTTCAAGGAGGCGGGGTTGTGAACTTCCAAGCAATGGCCACTTGTTAAAGAGCTAACTTTTTCAGCAGATAATGAATTTGTGGGTGATAATGATTAGACTGCACCAGCTTATAAAGTGCACGACCCATTGAATAAAAAAATTGGATTTAAAGTGCTTATGGTACATAAAATAGGGTATACTAAAATTATTTTGAAAAAAAAGAATAAAATACCCCATTGAATTTTTGATTCATTTTGGACATCCTTATTTGCAATTATCTTGCTGTATTTTAGCTTTTACTTACATAATAATATATCTCTCTTCCAGGGAGGTTGACAAGGAATTTAGTTCATGTAGGAAGGAATTGATATCAGTAGAACAACAATTACAAAAGTTACGTGCTGACTCAAATGATAAATCGAAACAACTGGAGAAGGTGAAGGAAGAATTGTCTGAAACAAAAGCCCAATTGTCTGGCAAAACTCATCAGAGTAACTTTTTAAGAATTTTTTTTTTCTACCTTAAGATTTTAATGAGTCCTATATCCATAAATGTCTGAAACGAATATTTGAACTGATTCTAAATTAATGAAATTCAACAATTTGAGTTCTCGGTTTTAGAATTAATTTATAATAGTTTTGATTCAATTATTATCATATTCAACAGCTGAAATTTCACGGTATAAAAGCAATCAAAACATTGTTCATATTACCTTTTTTAATTTTAAAACAAAATCATTGAATGTATTGACTCGTATGTGTTATTTGTTGAATCCGACTCAATTTAGAATATATTCGATAATCCATGTCTGAAAATATGATTTCAGAAGTTATTTAAAATAGAAGAATATTTAGTTTTGGCAATCCATGGAGATTCTTTGCAAAAAGTTCTAAATTTGATTTCAGTCAAATAATTTTTTGTTTTGAAAATGTAAAAAATCATAATGCTGTCTGTACATCTATGTGTTATTTTGATTACATTTTATGAAATATTTGACAATATTCTGCATTTTTTAGTTATTTTAAACTGAAAAAATTTATTTTGAAAAATTTCCAGTTTCAAACTTAGATGAGTTATTAAAAGAATCGGAATCACAAAAGAAAGAACTAGAAGGCAACTTTTCTTCCCAACAATCTGAACTTCTTCGACTGAGAAATGAACGTCAGGTAATGTGGGAATTGTGATTGTTAGATTACATGTTTCACATATATATAAATAAGTACAGGGTCCAAAGATTTTTCCGATTTTATAGTAATAACTAATAACAATTAAAAATTGCTTCATCTTTGTTTATTAATAATGTTTATAATGTGCTTGTAGTTCATATTTATCATACAATAAAATTTATTCAAACTTACAATTGTTTTTACTATAAAATTGAGCGAAATTTGTAATTGTTATAACCGGTACTATAAATGCAGGCGAATTTTTTTGGACACTTTGTATATTAACAATACAACTTCAAAATGCTTTGTATTTCAAATGGAACTCATTTTTATTTTATGATCAGGAATAATCAATAGAATATCTTCCTTGTACACATATGAGCATATGTAATTGCTGTCTTTTTCAGTTTTCTTTACTGGGTTGTCTCCCAGAACTTACATTCGTTGCCCTGGCTGACGTCTGACGATACCATAAAAAGTAAAATCTATCTCATGACTAATTGCCATTTCGAAACAGTACAAAGTCTCCTGATTTATTTCTCTCAATACTGTATTCTTTAATTCCCACACAAGTCTCTTTTCATCTTAATGGTTGGTAATTGTCACAATTACAATATTCATTTTCAGACATTGTCTCATCATAGTACCCAACTGCAATCAGCATTGCAGGCAAAAGATATCGATGTTTTGAAAAAAGAAACATTTGTAGCAAGATTACAGAGTGCACTCAAGTATGTATTATGAGTTTGAGAGTTTACTGTTCTTAAATGGCAATCAAATAATTTTGACTGCGATTAGTTATCCCAGGTATTACTTTTAATCTACATTCATATTATAAAAATTTGATTGCATGGCAGTATTTTTAAGTTGGCTATGTATTGTCATTCAACAAATGCAAATGAAAAAAAAATGTTTTTCTTTCATCAGCCTACTTATCATTTATTCAGTGAAAGTCATTAATACAACATAATGAAAGACGATTCTATTTATTTTTCTCTCTTTTTGGCTGTATGAAGTTTAGTTGACCTTTTTAAATTTGCTAATCATAATGAACGTAGGATTTTTGCAAAATTTTAATCAAAGGTTAATAGCCTAGCATTCATAGGGTGTGTTTGTCCAGTCCGGAAACGGAATGTATGGTATTCCACAACACACATCATAACCTACATTTTTCCTTGTTAATTTCATCTGTACATGGATATAACATGATTAGAAACATTCCTTTACATTTCAGATGACTTATCTTTTAATGTTTTCTACAAACGATAAACACAGATTACGCGTGTCCGTTAACTAAACAAATAAAGTTGAGTTGGTGAAGATTTGTTTTTCTGCAAACTTATTTATGTCAAGTAATCTTACATGATGTTAAAAGGTCTTTGACCAATTATGCGATTACCGCTCGTCTTCTAGAGAGTTTAGAGGATAAACCTAGGTTGTTTGAAGCATTTATATTTCAACTCTCGTAGTTTGTGTATCAGGTTAGGGTTGGGCAATAATTTCATTCCGGTTTTCCTTATTTTGGTGCTATAATGAGTTCGGGGACTGTCTGTGTTAGCTGAGTGAATATACCCCCTGTCCATATGTTTCAGTCTCTTTACACAATTTGATGTAAAGTAGGTGAACGAAATTAGTTGCCTCTATATTTGTACACACACTTCTGGAGCTCCAACTTTATTTATCAATGTAAAATTTTTCTGTCAAAATTATTCATCTATGATAACTGATAACAAGCTTTAACCACTGAAAATTTCAAAGCAATCTAGTCTAGTAAAGCAAAGTCTAGTAATCAAAGAGAAAGCAATATTTTCATAACAAGAAGAAGAAAATTTCAATAAGAACAACAACAATATAGTAACAAAACGATTCAAAAGTCCACTTTGTGTCCAATAATAACTAATGAGCTATTATAAACTAGCATGTTTTTGGATTGATAAGTCTTTCCATTATGACTAGTAATGAACATTCCTAGAATTTGAAACTATTATTTCATGAATATCCTTCTGCACACACCTTCAAAAAGCTGGTGGCAAGTGAAGTTGCTTAGATCAGAAAAGGGTGCTCCTGAAGTATGCGCACCAAGATGTCGTATAACCTGAACCCTAACCTGGTACACAACCTGAGTTCAGATTGTGCGCCATCTTGGTGCGCATACTTCAGGAGGTCCCAGAAAAGAATATTTAGCTCACACATGATGTAGAATAAAAAGTGATATGGATATTGCCAAGGTCTGTGCTCGCCAGGGGTAGTATCTATAGATAGGGATAGGGATAGTATCCCTGGCGAGCACAGACCTTGGCAATATCCATATCACTTTTTATTCTACATCATGTGAAATATGTTTTTAATTTTATCACTGAGTATTCTTTGATAAACTTCGTCTTATTAATACAAGTTTGGTTTGCCTGGTTGATAATCTTTGGCAAACATAAAGTAGTTGTTGGTTGGTAATAAATTTACATGTTTTACATGAATCACTTTCCCCTGGGGTTTAAAATTGGGTCTGGCCTACATTGGGCCTCGCATACATATATATATATAACTAGAAATTTGGGGGAAAACACTCATGATTCACACTTATTCAATGATAATCATCATGTTTCCGTTATTAGAAGAGATAAGTCCTGATGTGAACGAGAAAACAAGACCTTTTTGTGTATTTAGACTAATCTTTTAATCAAAGAAATCTCTTACTTCCTATTTCAGTTATGAAATTCTTGTACGCACCTGTGTAAAACTTTTTCTTTCACCGTTTTCTTATGCTCTATATAAGTCACGAACCTATTTCCATTTGTCTATTCTAACCGTATTTCTGTCCTGATAAGGGTTGCAATAGAATGAATAGAAAGTAATGAGTTATTTATGAATGCTTTGTGAAAGGCAGTCTTTATTGCTGAATATATTTAGCTAATGTCTATGAAGGACTGAAATTATGGTTAGTGTTTTTATTGTAATATTTTTTACACAACCAACATACCCTATAACTTATAATATTTAGTACTAATAAGAATAATAGTTGTCACAAGATGGTGAAATTATATATTCCCAAAAGTGAAATTTTCAATTTTCTAATATTATATTACATAAACGTTTTCTTATTAAAATCAAAAATATCAAATTCAAATTTGGAATATTTTTTACTTAAGATGGTGAAATTTTATATTCATTAAAATGAAATTTATTATTTTCCAATATAAAACTAAACATTTTTTTCTCCAAATCGAAAATATTAAATATGAATTTGGTATTTTATACAAGATAATGGATGTTATAATAGCATTGATACTCTACTGGTTTGGTGTACAAGTTAGATACTGTGATTGAATTTTTTTACAACCTAAAATCGGCTCACATCGGCTCACATTATAGTTTTGATGCAATTATTATCATATTCGACGGCTGAAATTTCACGGTATAAAAGCAATCTTATATTACCTTTTTTTAATTTTAAAACAAAATCATTGAATGTATTGACTCGTATGTGTTATTTGTTGAATCCGACTCAATTTAGAATATATTCGATAATCCATGTCTGAAAATATGATTTCAGAAGTTATTTGAAATAGAAGAATATTCAGTTTTGGCAATCCATGGGTCCTTGGATACATCCGTGTGGTTCAAGATTCGTTGCAAAAAGTTTTAAAGTTTTTGTTTTGAAAATGTAAAAAATCATAATGCTGTACATTTATGTGTTATTTTGATTACATTTTATGAAATATACGACATTATTCTGCATGTTTTATTTTAAACTGAAAAAATTTATTTTGAAAAATTTCCAGTTTCAAACTTAGACGAGTTATTAAAAGAATCGGAATCACAAAAGAAAGAAGCCTTGATTGTAGTGAATTATTCGAGTTAGACACTAAAACAAAACGAGTGTATGGAAAAGAGTTCCCTAATCTATGTCATTTTGAAATTGAGCAAAACTTTAGTAAAACCTATTTTATAACAATTTATTTTATCTCTTTGTTTAAAGAGACTATCTAATAAAATTTGATTATTCTAATTTGATATTCTAAACTTCAAATTAATTATAATTTGGTTATTTTAAATTGTTTTAAGTGCAATAAAATGAAGATTTTACTTTTAAAATGATAAATTTTTCAGGAAAAACATTTTCAAGTGAAGTTTCCCTTGATACTTGGTAGTAATTAATTTTGAAATAATTTTGTTTAAACACTGTTCTTTGAGATTCCTACTTTTAGCTAAAATGTGGTGAAATACCATAATCAAAATTGCTTACAAATATGAATTAATGTGCTGTTATTTTGCTAATTACTGTAACAGGCTAACATGTAGATGTACAAAAGTTGGCCAAAGCATAATTATAGTCAGTTTTTGTTGTTTTTAACACATCCTATGTTATATAAGCAAACCACACCTGTTATGTTATTAGAAAACTTTTTCATAAAACTCAGATTTCATTTCTATTCATTATTCAACCTAATTATCTGCGTCACACCACTTTGCAATTCAAACACACTTCTAGATAAGTCATTTTACGAGCGTCAGTAAAAACTTATTTCAATCTAGAAATATAACGATGCTCAGTGAAACATAAATGCCCAAGTATACAGTACAGATTGCATATATAATTGAACCATTAATGTGGATATAAATTTTTTATGTTTTGAAAACGAAAGCGTTCTTGGCTAAATTTGAAAATGTCCTACTAATGGTCTAGTATGTCTGAGAAGATGACTTATTTTTTAATTGTGCTGTGTTAGGGTGGTATTCATATCATATGTCAAGTAATTTTTAGTAATTTTTAGTATTTTTAAATGTTGCTTTATTTTCATTCAGTCCTGTATTAAATTAAGTAAAAGAACTTTAATGTGCTTTGAGCAAGTAATGGTGGGCATATGAAAGGTGTATTTGATGAAGTGAAAAACTTGAATAAACACTGATTAAAATAAAATAAACCTGGTTAAGACATATTAAAACTGACTTTTAACAAAAATTTGAAATTGTAATATTATTTGGGATTATCTTATTATGAGTAATAATTTATATTTTTGATATAAATGGTGGAATTTGGTTTACTATTTTTCTTATTTTGTTTGATTTCAAGAATCGTGTATGGAACATTATTTCATAAACGATACCATTTATGGCATAGTAAAAAAATTAGAAAAAATATTATCGCAATAGTAGATATTTACCAAACTTTAAAGCTTGTTATCGTAATTATCATTATGTATCATCTGAATAAATATTAAAATAAATTTTATATGATTTGTCATTTTTTACTATTATTCTGTTCATATAATTTTTGTTTTTATTTACATTTCAAATTCTATTTTTCAGAGAAACAAAGGAAAACCTATCAAAAAAGGAACGAGATGTAGAAGATTTGGAAAGAGCATTAGAAGATAGACAATGGGAACTTCAACAAAGAGCTGCCCAGGTTGTTATTAACCAGATATTTTTTTGAAATTAAAAATTGATTCCCCTTAATTTTAGGTAAAGAAATTTTCGTTAATATCCCAAAATATGTCTGGATATTTCCTTCTATGAATAAATTTGATCCTAAAAAATGGGCCAAAATATAATATTTTGGTGGAGCTGAGAGGCATGAGAGACAAACCATTATACAACTCATCAGCTATTGTAGCCTGCAGAGTGTTCTTGACATTGCACTCTTCATTACTTCTATAGTGTTTTGGCATATCAGGCAAATTGATTGTGTTATATTTTAGACACTACTTATTGTTGAACTTCCGCTTTACATAAATTACCTTCCTTTTCGTGCTGGCTAACATTTTACCTGAACTAACCCTTTTCAATCAGAACATCAAGAGACTGAATTCTTTTCAAATTTTTTATGTGTGTTGCTCATGTTCTTAATTGAGCAAATTCTTGAAAAGTATTTGATGTTTATTCCGTATTTATATAAAATTATTCGTGTTTTTCATCCTAGCTCGGTCAACTTGAAGTTAGTGTGAAAGAGCACAAAAGTATTGCAGAGAAACGACAAATTGAGCTACAGGCTGAGGCAAGAAAAGCTCAAGTCGAATTGAAACAAAGAAATTCACAGGTTTGTTCATAATTTCCTTACGCGTCTCTTGATTTTTCTTAAATATTTTGCTATTTTTTACATTGGCTTTTACCTACTTTTGGGAAAAAAGTTTCCAATGAGGTTTATTCCACATTCCCACTGTTAATTTCTTTTTTTTTTCTCCTAAAATAGCAGCTTTTTATTTTGCTTTATTACGATTGCCCGGAGACAAATTGTCATACATTTCAGACTTTCTAAAAATTTATAATTTTTATTGATATTCAGGTTGGGACTCTTGATGAGCAACTTTCTAATCTCAGATCTGAGTTGAGTGAGGAACGTCATCAGCTTGAGGAGAAAGAACAAGAGTTGAGAAGAGTTAACAGAGAAACAGAACAAAGGGATGAAAGAATAAAAGATTTGGAAAAGGTTGACAGCTGTTTTTTTATCATGTGTGCAAAATACTGATATAGATTTTGCTACCTTGATACTCTTAGTCTTTGAGTAAATATATTCACTTTGGGTTAGATATTGAAGCAAGGCTATCATGATAATAATCATTTATTTGAATAATTATAAGATGAATTAAAATAAAATTGTGTCTTCTTTGACTTTCCAAAAAATTGCTAGTTTCAATTTTCTTCCGAACAAAATTTCACGGACAATCATTCTTAGGCCCTTGAAGAGTCTCGCACTGCATATGAAGAACGTCACCGAGCATGTCTTGAAGTTACTCAAGAATTACGTGTCGCACGAGAGCAATCTCAGAAATCATCTCAACAATGGCAAGACGCACAACGTGAGCTTACTAGACTTCAACATCAGCAAGAAAACTTGTTTGGAGATTTGGAATCATTAGGAAAAACAGATAAAGAGAAAGTAGGCTATGAATTTGGTTTCATTATTTTTTTTTGAAGTTTTCTGAAAGATTTGATAAAAATTAGATTAGATAGATAGATGAGAAAATTTATATTTTAATATCTCAATCCCGTAAACAGTTTATTTTAAATATAAAAAGAATCTGTTCAGTCCGGGCAAGGGATAAGGACAAATCTATAATTGTTATAATTGATTGAAAATTGAACTATTTTTCTACAAAACCACGATGTACAGTTTTCTGGGTTTGGTGAAAACTAATTGTTTTTAAGTATAATAATTCTTCCATAATTTATTGGAATAATTAAATTCTTACTATTAAATCATTGTTTCGTACTAAAAATTATTGAACAATTATTTGTAGTATACTACTGTAATTTTAAATGTAATTTGAATGAATAATTCCAAATGCACTCAAACAGCAAGTCTGACAGACTATGTGTTTACGGCACCATTTTTTGTCCAATTGGTGCCATGTTTATCAAAGGATGTTTAACTTGCTGTTAGACTGATTTGAACAATCAACAGTAATTTGTTGAAAATTTGAATGAATATGAGTATTTGTTAATTATATAGTGCAGGTTGAATCTCAGATAGATTGTCTTGCATGAGGTTTCCGTATCCACTATTCAATCTAGTTATAGTTTTTAATTTGAATCTTATTTGTGTATTGAAGATTTCTGACAAATCTAACTTTGCTCAAATTTAATATGTGTCATTACTTTGAGGCATAATTCCTACCAGGAATCTATTAATCATTTAATGATTACTTACAAACATAGTTTCAATGAAACATATTATGCTATTTGTGAAAAGACCTATAAAATTTTTTTCAAAAAAAATATGATTATATCCTGATGAGAATAAACAAATCATTGTGATTGAGTGTTAATTAGTGGACTAAGTGTTTGGTTTATGCTGGAGGATTGTTGCACTCCTCGTCTTAGTAAAGTGGTTCACATAATCGCTGTTCGATAACGACTTCTTTCAGGAAAGAATTTTAACTATGGAAAAAAGCATTCATGCTTCGTGATTCATCGGGGATGTTCGTGTTACTAATGTGCACCGATCTGTATCGAATGACGTCACCATCAGTAACACGAATACGTCCTGGAGAATTCAATAGCACTATCAACTTCTACAATATCTTCTTTTCAAATTGGCTTGTTTAAAACATTGTTGACTGAGGAAAGATTGACTATTGAGATAAACTACTTTTTTGATTCATATCTGTTTGTTGTCTTTCTTCCGAATACATTACAATTAAAATATAGTAGGTGGAATTCACGATATAATTTCATATGGAAGAGCTGATTCTAGCTAAGAGGTTTCTAAATTTATGGTCATGGAATGCTTGTTCATTGTAGATTTTCTTTGTATTTCTTTACTTCATTTCAACAGGAAAATCATTTAAGTGAATTGTCTGGAAAACTTGCAGCGTCACAAGTTGAAAAGTCAGCAATTGAAGGAAGATATGCTTCTGAATTAGATAGATTGAGAAATGATGTTTTAAAAATGCATCAACAACATCAAGAAGAGGTTTGTATGTAAAGTTATATTGCGGTAAAACATAGATTATGGTTTAAGTAAATTGGCACAAAATTTGGACCTGTGGTGGAACAGTTGAATCTGATTCTCAAAAAATATCTTAATTATCACCCAATCAAGTCTTGGCCAAGCATGAATCAAGGAATTATGTTTTTAAACAAGACTATGGACAAGCAGACACTAGTATGTAGGCAACTATCATGTTTTAGAATTACCAGTTGGTTTAACATTGGCGATCCATTTATATTTCACTTAAGGTGGGGTGGTAGACATGGGGGTTAACTGTTCTAACCCCTATGCCCCGTTAAATATACGGTAGGTTTATTTATGTTCCCAACTCAACTCAGACTATTTATTTATTCATGTGTTTACAATCAGACCATAAATACTTGGATACTAGCATGCTCCAGCTCCTGCATATCTATTTCTTACACTTACTATAACTGCCATTACATGTCCAGAATTTTTGTCTCACTTTTAAATATTGCTATTTTTGGGTTCATGCCATCAGATATAGTCTTTTTTTTTTCTTGGGATAACTTGCAATAAGTTGCAATAACACACCAGCTATTCCACTTCTATATCGCTATTATATTAATCACGAAAATTGATTGCATTTGACTTTTACTTTTAGATTGCAAGATTGCGTAATGAACACACTCAACAACTAACCAAAGCTAAAATCAAAGCGGGGGGTCGTTCAGAAGATCTTCGAAACGCTATAGAAAAGGAGAAAGAAGCAAATGAAGAATGTGAATCGATGCGTGATGTTGTTCTGTCGTTGGAGAGAGAATTGTTAGCTCGAAAACAAGTCATTGAAGCAGCGAATGACACTATTGTAGTCAAGGTACAGTAGTCTGTCATGAAGTTGAGAATGCCGTTTCAATTATATTTTGAAACTGCTCCGATGCTGGAATAAACTATCTGTTTGTTAGTTAAGAACCAATGTGCGTTCTATTTTTCTCTATTCTATTTTACCAATTGTTTGCCTCATAAACAAACTAATGTGCTCTCTCTATCTTTGACATGTTTTCAGTACATGTGACAAAGCACCTTGTTTTCATGATTTACTACACACAATTGTATCAGTAATTGCGTTTGGTTGTGGTGCACACACAAATGCAGCGATAATAAATATACAGTGGAGTCAGTGGAGATATTCTGGTTAACAGTAACAGAATGCCGATTCACGAAAACTGTTGAGGAAGACACATTAGTGTCTCCCTTTTTCCCATTTTATGGTTCAAACCACAGAAAAGTAAGCAGAGTCTCTGAATAGGCTGATGTATTATTGTAATAAGAGTGATAAGAACCAACCACCGGTCGTTGTTCTGTTAATTCAGGATAAATCTTTTCAACAAATAATAAATTATTCCCAGGAAGCAGAAATTGCAAGACTTGAAGCAAAACTGGCTGGAATAGAAAGAGGGAAAAGAATGCAAGATTTTTCATCTCGTAAGTATGGATACCAGCATATATCTTTTTAAAATTCACTTATTCTGGAATTTTGATTTTGCAATGTTCGATGGTAAATGGTTTAATGTTAAAAGAGGAATTTATTCTGACCCAAAATTGATATGATTTACTCAATGATTTTTATTTGTTTAAATCTTCTCAAAAATTGTGATTGCAAAGTTTTCTTGTTTTCAAGTGCCAACTGAACAGTCAATTTTGTTAGCAATTGAAGATGACTACAGTCAATCTGGATATTTTAGATTTAGATTATGTGTAATGTAAATTTAATTAATCAAATTTTTACAGCTGAAAAGCTACAGCAGGCTGTAAATGAGGCAGATGAACAACCTGATTTTTTGCCTTCGTTTCTGGCACCAGATGCCATGGATGATGCTCAACTTAAAACATTATGGAGATCACCAGAAGAAAATATTAAAACAAGGCAACAACCGGCTCATGGATCTTCAACATTATTTTCTGGTCTTGATCCTGATTCAAGTAGTTTGTCCCCCAGGTAACGAGCTAAATTTCGCTCTTGTAATTAATTTACCTAAAGAGGTTTTGACTCTTCTTAAAGCTTTCAACAATTAGATGAATCGGAGCTTTACTTTGGCACACCGTAGTGCATTACAGATAGTTTGACGTACCAGTATAGCATGATGGTTTGAGATTAATCACATCCTTATCTGAAATGAGCTTCAGATGAACATCATCACGGTGTGTCCTTGTCTGTAAATGCTCTCATTTTGAAAGAATACATTTGAGAATCATTTGATTTGAAAATATCTTCTAAATTTCATTTCTGAACTTTTATTTTTTAAGCTTTATTCATATTGCTGCAAGTACGAAAAGGCCGAATACTGTTGATGATGCTCTTGCAAGAGTTTTGGCAAATTCACCAAGTAAAGAGTTAGATGCTTCTACTAACATGGAAGAGTCCTTATTTGCCAGGTAGATTTTTCTATCAGCGATTTTCAGTACTGATTTCATTGTGATATATTCAGTAAATCAATGGAAAGAAAAAGGCCAATAGAATGACTTAATCACATGACAAACCATCTGGTCTCTAGTCCAATTTTCAGTGGAATATTAGTTTGGGTACAAGAATAATTCCAAAATCTATTTGCTTTGACATGTATAGTGGAAGAAATCATAACTGACTTGTGCTTATTTTCATATTACTCTTTCTTGCATTGATATCCATTTCACATAGTTAAATCTTAGCCTGTCTCTGATAAAAACATTTTTTGAATGAATATTCAGAGTATTTGACAACACTCGAGCTGCTGATTCTGAAAATAGACTGACACAACGACATTCTGATGCAAGGATGAGTCGCGGAACTTCTCGTTCTGTATCTGACAATAATCAATTTGGTTTTGGATCGGAATTAAAACCAGACCAATGGTAAGTTGTGCTTATGTATTCAGATACTGAGAAATGTATATATTTATTACCCCTCTTAGTATTTCTATTTTACCACTTTTTCAGCATGGCGGATCTCCAAGAGAGGCTTCGTGCTAGTGAACAGAGAAGACAAGAAGTAACTTCAAAACTAAGACAGCTAAAGACCAATGCCAAGTCATGAGTAGTTCTCAGATCATTTTAAACATGATTCTCTAAAGAGTGGCAATCTTATTTTATATTGGCCAATGAGCTGTTGAGAGATTTCTTAATATTCCAAACTTACTATGTGGAATTGTGGTAATGTGATTTTGTTTCCAACTGTGATCAAATCGTTTTTTTTTTCAGTATTCAGTAGCCTTGTAAGTATAAGGTTGAGTGGGATGGGATTACCTCCTTGCTGAAAATGGTTAAATGGAACTTCCATAAAGTGACGTAATTGTAAATGTGTAAATAGAGGATGGTTGGTTTATAATATGAAACTTGTACAAGATAAAAAATGTTTCATTTATCATACCGACTTTTTTTAAATTTATATTTTTGCAACCTCATAGTTATACGTACTAGATGTAGACAGTCAATATATTTTCACAAAGAATATTGAGTATTGCTTGGTTCATCAAGGGATTGTTAGAGTGGTATTTATGTATGTACAGGCGAAGTCCCATTCGAATTTTGTCTGCAGTGTCTGGGTGATCGTAATCAATCGATGTTATGTGTTGAAATGTTTCGGTGGTCATTTTGCAAAGTAACAAGATTTCAAAATTTTGGGAATTTGATGTGGCATGATCTTAGGCCAACATAAAACCATTTTGCTCTCTGCGAAAGTCGAACCTAATAATTTCAATCTGGAAGATGGACATCTTGATTAGCACCAAACAGTCTATGATCGCGTATACTAGAAATGCGCATTGACGCAAAATCAAACCTCTTGTGAATGCCAGGTTTCTGATCGCAATTGTGTCTTACGCCCATAAATGGATTTATTCTCAATTTTATATGAAGCCTGAATCATTAATTCAAAAAGTGCATTAACTTTAGCAACTATTGACTTGCTTTTTGCACTTTCTCACCCGTCTTAATTTTGTCCCTGAATGTGCCAACGAGAACACTATGAAGGTAAGCGGACAGATTGCATGGAAATATCAGCAAGTTAATGATTCGAGTATAGTGTTAGTATTGACAACGTGTATTCGTTAATAAAATACCACCCGTCGTCGCTTGTGCTCACACCATCTTGAGATTTTTGGCCTGGCCAATATAGGAAAGTTTTCATGACTAATAATGCCTAAATAATGTTTTATTATTTTGACAGGCTGCGTAACTGCTCTGGAAGGGTAGAATTTTACAATTAGAAATTTATTTACATGTAGGATTTGTCAGTTCCTGTTATGAACCAACATTGTATCAATTATTCTTTCCATAATGGATAGACATTTGGAAAAAAACGTCAAAAACTTATGATCCGAGAATACAAACTAACAGTGTGTTTGTCCTTCTTCGATCCCTGTCAGAATAGACTTGTATTTATCGACTCATGCCCACATATCGCATTAGAATGTCATTGCTATTTCTAGCTTCTTGCAGTCTGTATCAGATAATTCTTATAAGTATGCCAGCTATCTGTGGCCCGAGTTTGAGAGATTTCATTTGTGCATTAGCTCCTTGTAGTTGCAACCATGAATTTAAATTTGTTAGGTCTTTCTTCAATTTGAGTCTTAAGATGTTGAACTTTTCGCGATTTCTTTTTTAGGCCAGAATTGATTGAGATAAATAATAGTTAATGGTATCTTTTATTTCAAGATCAAGTGCCTTAGTATTAAATGGGGTAATTCGAGTTGACCAGGCGACCTCAATTGGTCCGATTGAAATGTATTGTGCATATTTTTCGTTCACAAGTATCATCGCAGGAGAACTATTTTAAAAAATCATTCAAATCAATCATAACCTGGCCCTCAATCAGTAGTTGTTTCCTCTTATACTTTACTATTGCAAAACAATTTGACTTATTTTGTGGGTGTTCTCGAGAATTGGCGCTTACAATCTGGTTAACATAGGGTTGCCATACCGTCCGGAAAATTCCGGACATGTCCGGAATTTATGGTTAAATTTTGCGTCCGGGAGGAATTTTAAAAAATGCTCAAATGTCCGGAATTTCACTGCATCTGCAATCGTAATGTGCACACTGCTAATACAGAACATTGTTATTTCGTACCGTGCGCATATTTTTACTACGAGGTTGTATGTAATTTTAATATAACAGAGCGTTTTCCTTATCAATGGTGTTAAAGTTGCAAACGTCTATGAGAGATGCTTGGAGTACCTGTGCAAATGGATGAAACCAATGGAAAAGTTTACTTGTTTCAAATGGATAACCTTGAACGAGATACCAAGTTGGAAGGATGTAAAGCAGGGGTTGGCAACCTACGGCCCGCGGGCCGGATCGGGTCCGCGGAGCAATATAATCCGGCCCGCGACGCTTCACTGGATTATAGTAACAAAACAGCTGTTTTAACGATTATATTCTTTACGTAACAGAATTAATTTTGCGACACGCGTAGGCTAAATTATGTTATAACCTAACAAGTATATAATTCACAATTGCGCGTTTAATGACCCTATAATTTAATTATAGTTACACAAATGGCAACAAATCGCAGAAAAGTTGATGCTTAGCGCAAATGGTTTAATGGTGCAGAAAATATTCAAATGGTCAGTCTTGGTGCGCTGCTCTAAATTTAACTTCTGATCTGTGTGAAAAAGTGTGATTCATCGGCTATCCGTTAGGTTTTCAACATTCTAAAAATATGAGGCCCGCCAATGACTTGCAACCTTTGGTTTTGGCCCGCGATCGACAAAAGGTTGCCGACCCCTGATGTAAAGTCTTGCCTGGAACATCTGATTAGTAAACGGGTTGATGTGGACGATGATAAATGCTTTGACCAATTCTGTAACTTGAAGCAGTTTGTGGAAAGTTACCTACAAGACGAAGAATGGTGCAAATATTCCGATCAGTCTACGAACATCACATGCCACTCCGAAATTTTAAGGATTGAACTGTTTTTCTTTGCTGTTACATCCCACAATGCCAATGTAGAGAGAGTCTTTTCACTGATGCAAAGTCAGTGGACTAAAGAGAGAAACAAGTTGCGACTATAAAAGGCATGTTGACTCTCCAATATAATTTCAAAGATATGCACTGTAGTGAATTGTTTTCATTTTTGAAATCAGACAAGGAGAGAATTAGATCTTCAGAAAAATATGCATGGTCAGAAGAGTAAATTTGTAGTGATTGTCTTTAATTTGTTTTAAGCATGTAATTGCTGTTCTTCCGTTTCGGCACAATCTAATTCTCATTCTTATTTTTCACTCTGAAGTTGAGATTTTTTCAGTCGACGGCCCGTAGCTATATTTAGAGTGTGCTTACCTGCCTGGTGTGAGATTCTGCTTGTGACTGAAGACAATACCTTTCATTTCGGTAGCTGGCGCTTTAGCATGAGTATCGCACAACGTCAGCATGAGTATCGTACAGCCTTAGCATTTTGGTAGCGCATATATATGGTCTCATGAAAAAGGGGACCTCCGGAAAGAAGTATGCGCACCAAGATGGCGCACAACCTGAACATAGTTTTTGTGTACCGGTTAGGACTAAGGTTGTGCGACATAGTCATGCACTGTCCGGAATTTTGCTTTTCCAAATATGGTAACCCTAGGTTAACATGTTTAAAACTATCATTTTGTCGAAACTATTTGACCACGTGCCGCTTACAGGTTGGGCTAGTCTGTCACATCGTTCATGGGATTAGTTTTTGATAATTGCAACTAAATGAAAGCTCTTCGGAAGACATATTGAGTTATTAAATTTGCAATTCATTTTTGAAATCACAATTGAAAACTGACAAGTAACACACAAAACAACGGAAACGAAGTAATGTTTATAACGATGCTTGGATATGGGTGTCTCCGAAATGTCGTGTCTCACTTGTACCACCTGTACCACGTGTCCCACTTGTACCATGTGTCCCATTTGTACCACGTGTACTACGTGTCCCACTTGTACCACGTGCCCCACTTGTACCACGTGTCAAGTGGGAAACGTGGTACAAGTGGGACACGTGGTGCAAGTAGGACAAGTGGGACACGACATTTTGGAGACACCGCTTGGTTATTTTTCTGAGTGGTTGAACAAATTGCAATTGTTTCGTCATTGTTAAAACATTGCTGATTGTTACGGAAATGAACAAAGACCAAACACCAAATTAGAATATAATTGCCAGTGAACATGCTTTAGATGCAAGCGAAGAAAACGAAAAAAGAATATAAACCATAGCCCAATTATACTGCATGAAAGTTATGAAGGACGTGGAAAATGATATCGAGTTGTCCGATTAATTAAAATTTTGTGTGTGAACAATTATCCAAGCTAGAAAACAGTAGTTAAACTCCATACACCTTAGGACGTTTTTATGGTATTCGATACCTTCAATATTACATTTTTTATCGAAAAACAACTAAATTTGGTGAGGCAAAGCTGAACATATACTATTGCTTTTAATGGCGTACTAGCAGTGGGACCTGCCAAGGATTTCGGGCCGAAGTTTATTTAGACAAATCAGTCATTTTTACTTCTGAGTGAGTGAGCGTGACATAAACAATTTTCTATAAAAATTATTTGAACACCTTACCAACACCGAGAATAACAAACACTATGCAAAGTAATACCAGAATTCGTATATATAATCGAATTCCTCGGCCTAAAATAGCTGTAAATTCAGCTGATTTTTAAAATGACATTTTTTCCGTAATAACTTTATTATAAAATATATTCTGAATGTATTACTTTATAACAAATCGTATTTGGGAACAAAATGTGTGAAGCAACTTGGCAGAATATTTCAATTCTAAGTATTACCGCTAAATGGCGACATTGCGCTGTAAACCATCTATCTCGATGGTACTTCACTTTCGCTCTCGTCGCTCGTTCTCTAGAACAGAGAACTATGGGGTCAATTGTTAAGAGTATCGCTATGTTAGATATGAACTCACGTATGGAATATTTTCAAATCATATTGTTTACTCTAATATACATTGGAATTCATGAAGCTTTTTCAGAAAAAATACTTGGTGAGTCAACCATTTTGTTTATAGTATATAAATTATACCTATTAAATTATGAGCTGATGAGTCTTTTGTTCGATGTTCGTGGAGAACTGAAGTTTTGTAAACATTTTGCCCATCAGAGGCTTCTTTTTCTCGTAAACTATTTTCTGCTGATTGACTCTGCCTGAGGGTTGATGGGAAATTAAACGAATACTATTTTTAACTGGATATGATACCGATACTGTATATTTTAGGTATAGCGTTATTGTGTAACCACGTTTGCAAACTACTATATCTATGCAATCAACATATACCAAGCAATATTGAATTTGTTTTTATCTAATCATTTTGTGTTGTAAAGTAAACTATGAAGGATTAGTTTGAATTCGTTTCAGATGTAGAGATATCCCCTAAAAAGGTCATCGTGACGCCCAGTTATGAAGATCCGATAGTCCTACGATGTACAATCAAGTCGTCTGCTAATATCAGTGACGGAGAAGATTTGAAATCATATTGGACAAAGAATGGAGTGCCAATAACTGAACGATTAGTAAATACGACAATATTTGACGATGATAAGCTCGCCGCTCCGTATTTACTTGAAAATGATACACTTTTCATTGGTAGACTTTCTCCAGAAAAAGAAGGCACCTACGCTTGTACGGCTAGGATAAGGACGTTTTCGGGTAATATGAAATTTTTATAGAATTGAATAAAACTATTTGTCCACATATAAATAAAATGTATATTTTTTCTTCGTATCATAATTACATTTTGAACCTTGCCGTGTATATCTTTGTAATTTATAAAAAGGGTCTTTATTTTCAACTCTATACAACGCTGAACAGCGCTATTGCTTTGAGTGACTTAGAAATGTACGAACGTACGAGAAATTGCCATATTTCTGAGATAAAAAACGCAATTCGTTATACTGATAAATAATTCATTATAGTCATTTGTGAAATCATAACAAATATGATCTTGGATATATAAATTAGTATTTAATTAAAAAGACAAGGTGTTGACTAATTAATTATACTTCTATATCTACCTACAGAAATCGTGTCCGAGGAACGTTCGACAGCGCCTGTATATTTTGCAAAAGTCAACGATTTTTCGTTTGTTTCTCCTGACACAGAAGTTGAAGAAGGCAGTTTTGCCACACTCACTTGTGTCTCAGGTCTGTCATAGATTGAAATCAATTATTGGATTATTTACTGGCATTTAAATCGGTAAACTAATTTTACTTTCGAGTGCAGATCATTTTGAAGTCGATGATCTCGGTGGTCTTGCATCTGGAAGCCCTGGATTTAAATTGGAAGGTTAATAGGCGTTTATATCAGTCGCAATAATCATAATATAAATTGTGATTTAGGTTTCAGTATTCCATCTGCAAATCTATCATGGATAAAGGCAGGAGGAGGAAAGATAACCGGAGTCCAAAGTCAATATATTTTACGTCATGATAAAGGTAGGACACGTGATACGATTATTACCCAGAACGGTGCTTCAATTCCGGTCTCGGTACCCCATAGAATGATTTTGGGGTTCCATGTGCTTTGCAAGCATAACATGAAAACAAAATGGTATCTTGTCTATACGATGTTTTTGACAGAACACATTTAATGGCATTCATTGAATTCAAAGCGGCTGCTAGGTACAGTTTGTACACATAATAGATACACAATTTCTATCAAATTATAAAAATTGTTTACTTGAGAAGTTGGAGACGACTGATATATGAAAAATGGCATTTATTTTCAACTATTAAATTCTGAATGAAGCCCCTCAAACACTAATGAAAAATACATCATCAAAAAAGGACGATGTTCAGAGAAGGTTTTCGATGACTGAAAATAATTAACATTCTTGTTAACGATTCTAGAAAATTGTGTTGTTATCATATTTCTAAATGATGGAATAGTGGTAACCGTATTGTGAACTTATTCTCAATATTTGCACCTATTTATGTCATTTAAGAAACTGGAATGTATATGACGAGCAGCAGTATTCAATTTAGCAACATTTCAACATATGATCAAGGAGAATACTCCTGTGTCGCTGTGAATCGTTTACTTCCGTCTCTAACCAAAGTTAGTCGTCGAATTTTTCTCAGAGTAAAAGGTGAACCATTTTTTGGAATATATATGTACGCTTGCCAAAAATAGAAATTATTTTATGAAAAATTTCAAATCCACAGTTCTAGCGTATTTTTCAAATATAACTGTGATTAAATCTTAAGTTCCAATTTTCAAGTTTCATCATCACATGAATTGTACTAGGATTACATTCAGTATTCTGGAAAATAGACAACCAACCATTTAATTGAGATTATACACGATTATCCACTGACTGAGAATATTTGTTAATGTTGACTCACACCAGTGGTAATTTTTGCAGAAAAACCGGCAGCTCCACAAATTATTTTACAACCCGAAAGTGTCTATGCTGTAAACGGTAAGTATGTATTTATAAACAATAATTTTTTTATTTAATATCCGTTTTAGCAGTATAGGCAATACTGCAGAGAATGGCAGGAATTGAATTAAAAGTAATGTCCATTAAAAGAAATAGACAGACTGTGCTGAGTATATATGTACCCTCCTTCCATCTAAACATCAATTATTTAAAATGGATGAACGCACCTTACAGTTTGAAATTTCCATTTCCAAATAGTCATGCATTTTGTATGAGATATCGTTCGACTTGGCTAAATTATCCGCGAGTTTGCTACGTAATTTGTTGCCCATGTAAGAAAATTACACCAGAATTTTGGCACTAAATAGTATTAATATATATATGGATATGTTTAATTTTACATTGTACATATTTTTAATTAGCAATTCAAAATATATAGAGATTTATACTATTTTGACTCCTGACGAGTCTAATTTAATATTTTTTGAAGCTATCTCCAAACGATTAACCAAAACAAACTATTTTACGCAGAAAATAATATAAACTACACAGGAAATGTTCATTCACAGATCAATCATCAAAATTCGTATGTATTTCAAGTGGAACACCGACTCCAAAAATTACCTGGTATTACAACAATGTAAATATTGATGCTGGGCAGTCACCAGTACAAGATGCAATATCAATAGACTCGTATGGACATACAAGTATACTCGCCATATCTTCGTCAACGCCAGAAGTAACTGGAGAATACAAATGCTTAGCGAAAAACGAATTTGGACACGCAATGTCGAAAGCCGCAGAATTGCAAATAGCAGGTAACACTATTGTCCCTAAAGACTGTCTAGGTAATGTATTCCGATAGTCGAGGATATATAACTTTATCATGATGCCCTTACCAATGTCACGTCTCAAACGATATTTGAGATAGGGTAGTTTAAGTTCCTAATATGAAACGTGATTTTCAGATTTTCAACAGTTCTTTATTCTGATACAACTCACTTTATTCTGATTTCCAGCATTCAGTTGGATATTTGAGCAAGAGCCGGAATATACTGAAATTTACATCAACAAAGCTGCAACCTTGATATGTAGACCTCCTTCTAGTCAACCTCCTGCAAGTATAACCTGGTATAAAGGTGAATCATTCTAATTAGTTTATTCAGTGAAATAGAATGAATTATTTACATTCTGAGTGGGCCAGTTACCCATAATAGACTTGTTTACCGGAGGCTCAATACTTTATTTGAATAACTATGAATAAAGAAAACAGTTTATTCATAACAGCTAGTCCAACGTTTATATAATAATAAGAGGCACAATGTAACAATCGGGGTCAATATGACGTTTCAGCGGAAATTTATATCCATAAAAACTATGGTCGTAATTTCAGAAGACACAATTGGGCCGGATGAAACACTTCGGTGGGCCGGATCCGGCCCGCGGGCCGTAACTTGCCTACACCCGATTTACACGAAACCTCGACGTGGTTTCAATAACGATTTTGACATTCTTGAATTTGGAATTTGATAAACACACGAAATTCATTGAAAATGGTAAGCGGGTCTTAAAAAGTGGTAAGCGCTTTGGGAGCTTAGGATTAGAAAAGTGCGTTGACCCAGTGCACTGTGAAAAAAGACTAGTTAACAATACGTTTAATATTCGAGCTTTTTTACGGTTTAACTTGAGATTAGTTTAAAAAAATTAACTCAAATATATCTCGCTAAAACGTAATTTTATTCTTGTCGATATTAAATAGGATTTTAAAACTAAAATACTACAAGAAGGATGATTTATATGAAATTTTATTCGACATTTGAATAAGAATTTTATTCGTTTAATCTGTTGAATACAAGAAATTTTCCCACAAAATTGTTTTTTTTACAACATTGACTACAGGGTCAAATTTACTGCAAAAATTCGCTAGCGTGGAACTTTGCTTTTAATCGTTGGCCGTTGGCAATTAATACGATCTTCAGTATTCGGATTGTCAGCGTTAGTGATGTGAAAATATTACATTTGGTCTCGTGCCGAATGTCGACACTCTCGGATATTTTTACTGAACGTTTGGTTCATGTTACCATAGTTTTGTACTTTACATCATCAAGTGGGAAGTACGCATTGTGTCTATTCATTTTGAAGTGTGTATAAGTAGTGTAGCCGCCTCTGAAGCATAATGCTGAACGGGCATTCATGTGAATGTTTGTGATGTACAGGCCAACTTCAAAACACATTTAAGATTTTTTTAAACAGTGAGCGTCAGCGAAACGTATATGAAACTTTGTTATAACATAATATACCAGGCGACATTTCCACAATTTGAAATTAGATAATACCACCTCTGTGTCTGGTATGCTTTTTTAATTAAAAATATTTTCACCTTCAAATAAAATTATTGCAAATATGTTACCACCGTGCTTCGACACTGTTTAATCTTAGTGTTCCACATATTTGATGTGAAGATATCAGATAAATCAATTTACCCTTGATTAGGTGATTGAATACTTTTATGCTGAAGACGAAAAAATTCATTAACCCTTTAGTTTGACTAGAATCATGAAAATTCTATTTTAAAGCGTAAGCACTTTATAAAATTTAACCTCATAGATTAAACTGATTGATATTTCGTGAATAATAAAGCTATTGTTTAACAATAAATACGACCACCATTTCCAAATCACTAAATTTGAATATTGAAATCTGTATTTTCACCTCATTCATTCCATTTTCCTGATATTTTCGTTATTAATAATAATATTATACTTTAGATAACAAGGTTCTTGATCTCACTCGTACACCATCAGTACGAAAACTTTCTTCAGGAGATTTGTATCTCGAAGAGGTGAAACTAGAACACAGTGGAGAATATTTTTGCCAAGCCTCTAACAGACTACTCGATGTGACCGCTACCTCACAGAGGGCTCAGGTCACCGTATTCGGTAAGTAACGTTACGCGATATAAATTAACCTAATATTCTTTTTTATTGTCTGCCCTAATAAACTAGGCCTGTCAGAATATTTTCTCAATAAAATATTCAAAATCAACTTTATGTAAAAATACTTATAACTGTTTGAATACCATTGATGACATTTGTAATAATGTGTAAAAAAAACTAGGTCTTATATTGATTGGTTTCTCTGGTTGCACACCTGATTTTTTACAATTAACTCAAAACAAGATAATATTTCAACTCTTTTCAGCCCCGCCCACTGTCACTCAACTGCCAATCACAGCAGATGTTGTTCTGGAACACACAATTAAGCTAGAATGCAACGTCACTGGATACCCATTTCCTGATGTAAAATGGACAAAAAACGGCCTCACTTTAGCGACAAATGAAAGAATTATATTGGGGTGAGGCTTAAGGCCTATCCATACCGATTGGTCTATTTGTGTAAATGTAATTGTAGATATTTGGTCGCAGTCTATCTTCATAGACGAGCAAGCCAGCCAGAAAAAATAATTATTTATTAAGCTTAATTGAGCCCAAAGTAAGCATTTTAAAAAGCCATTTTTGTGTTCATCAAGCCTTTTGCTCTGAATATATCCAGGCTAAGAAACCAGACGCTCTTTATCACGTCTGCCATGACAGAAGATGAAGCATTTTATAGTTGCACTGCAAGAAATGAGCATGGACGTATCGACAGCGGGCCTACTTTGTTGAAGGTTTTAGTTCCACCTGTTATACATACTAAGGTAATTTGTAATGCGTTAAAATATTATTTACCTTACGTAATATTTTATAGAACTTAGTATGACCAATCGTTTAGTGGGAACTGCTTCAAAATCAAATCCATATGAACCTATTGATAAGAATTTTATTGATTAGTCTAAGCACTATTGCCTTAACTTAATTGAATGTCAGAATTTTCCAGAAAATAGCAAATATTTTCATTTTAGTGCATAATGAAAAAATCTAAATTTGCAAGAATTCGAGAACTTTTGTACATTTGCATATTATATTCAGCACCGAAATACAATGATGGAAATTTTCATTTCTATTTTTTAAACATCTACTGAACAAATGCCAAAGCGAATGGGGGTGTTGCCTTTAAATTTTGAATTTGTCACTCTGCCAAAGAGTCTTGTTCGTTTGAAATCAGTTCCCCGACAAATTCGACCGGTTTAAAATTATTGCATTGCCGTAACCACTATATGAAAATATTCGTAACTTTGTTTTTAGCGAGAGACTGCAATACCAATGCGACCTGACTGGGCGAATATCCGGTTTACAATCTTTTTGCATCAACTCTAAAATACCTTACTTCACTTCTTCTAAATTCGTTAAAAAATGATTTTGTCTTGTAGATTTTGCTGTTCGTACTAAATGTGTTTTCGCGAATCCGCAGTTCGCAATATAATTATTCTCAGTTTGGCATGTATGGTGCCACATTGTCAGCACACAGCACCAAATACGACACAGTCATATATGAGTGAGACTAAACGCACCATTACTTTCACAATAGCATCGACTGATCAGGATGATCATATCGATCGATTGGTCTCTGAAATTTCCGATTCTCTTATTCACTCAACCTCGCATGACGCTAAAAGTGAACATTTGATAAACAAAACAACCAATGAACAAGTAGTCATTGTGGCTCGAAATGCACGGCTGAGCTAAAAAAATCTCGTTTTGAGATTGTTTGGTTGGACAACATTAGGAGATAGATCTTGCTATTTATAAATAAGTCCCTTACTACTTGTTCTGTTCTGTCTTGCACTATTCAACATAAGTACAGAAATATCCCCGATCTAACATCTTCAGTGACCAATATAACACCCAATATTGTGTTGCTAAATGTTCATATATCAAAAAGCTGCACGGTCAAATTAAAATATTTCAAGTAACAGATCACTTAAAATACTCCTAAACTATTATACAAGTATACGTATTGACCATAACACTACAAGACTAAACAATAAAACATGGATCAACTCTTGGGCACTTGCCTTCTCGTGGAATAAAAGCTTGCTAAAGAGCTTGTTATGGTGAATTATATAAGAAATAAATCTTTTAAAAAATGAAGCACATTTAGCACACGCATTAAACATAATGAAATCCACGGTAATCAACCATTTTAAACTTTTGCCATCTTTAATGTTCAGGTACCAGACAACGTTCTTATAGATTTAGGAGTGCCATATACAATATCATGCAAAGCAATCGGTACCCCTGAACCGAAATATAAGTGGACAAAAGACGGACGTTTCCTCAACGTTTCAGCTGAATCAAGACTGACTCTAGTAAATAACGGTCTCAAAATATCCGAAGTTCTGGAAAGTGATACTGGTCGTACAATTGTACAGCATACAACAAAGTCACCGAAGTTTGGTCTGATGGCCTCATCAGAGTTAAAGGTAGAAGTATATGTTTCAGACTGACTGCGATATTAAAGTACATTAATTCTTATTACTATTGAAATAAGCGCATGCAAGTATCACAAGCAGATTGTTTTTGTAATAGATTGCCACACGACCAGTTCTGCCGTATCTGAGCCAATAGTCGTGTGGGGAGGCAGGCACGAATTCTTTTTAGACTTAACTGATTAGCAAACATTGTTTTTTAAGAAAATTCTAAACCAGTATTTATTTGAATAAGAATGAAATATCATCGAATATACTGTTCACTGTAAAATTTCAATAACGTGGAGTCAATTGTTACCATATTTATCCAGTTCCGGCGCAAATTACTTCTCCACCCCAGAGCGGCGCAGTTGACGAATATGGGAATATAAACTTCACTTGCATCGGAAGGGGTTATCCTGACATCACATATGATTGGACGATAGAGTCAACATTGAGGTAATGTAGTAAAGTTTTGCACAACGTGTAGTTCGTACTGTTAACAACGTTGATTTGTATGCTTTGGTCAAAATGGAAGTCATCCTGGAACGACGCTTATGTCTTCAGGTTAAAATTCAAAAAATTGTCTTTCTCTTGTGTTACATGCATTTTTGTTCATTTTTTTCTAAATTCCAACAATCTATATATATTGACTGACGTGCCTTTTTTTAGTCATATAGTGAAACAATCTCAAATCAATACAATAAACTTTGCACAAAAACTTAACTTTTAGCATTTTACAATCCTGTTTTTGCGTTCGCCCTGTTCCCAATTTGCAATCGCTCCAAAATAGTCGATTCCACATGCCGCTTTATTCACTCTTAAAGTTTGCACTTTTAGAATTATTAACATTGGTTACGTAAACTATAACATGATAAATGTCATTTCACAAACCCAGGGTAAATTCAACGAATGCGACTGGATTAGATCATACCATAATGTATGAGGATGGTGAAACAATTATGTCTCTGACAAATGTTTCGAGAAATTTTCATGGAAGTAATTTTACTTGTATAGCACAGAACTTCTGGAGTAAAGACGTCGCATCGGCACAGCTCAGCGTTTCAAGTAAATATAATTTTAGATTTGCCTTTTTATGTAAATTCACACTAAGATACTCTTACTACGTTGCTATTTTACTTATTCTCGACACGAAAAGTTTGGTGCGTTGTCTCCCACTTCCTATGAAATGCTTCCTCGATGATTGTTTATAGATGTTCGCCCTATTTAAAAAACAGCGATCCTTTTAACGATGCAATTTTGTTGTGGAATAATTAGATTTTATTGAACACTATTAACTTAAACTACTTTTGTTTTTGAAGCTGAACCAGTTGTAATATCATTAGACAGTTCTCATGTTCCCCATATCACCGACTACAAATGTAACTATCAGCTGTGAAGTAGAAGGACGCCCTACACCAGACATTCAATGGTTTTACAGAGTAAACACAAATGCAAAAAGTACTTCACTTAAATCAAATGATTTCGTCGACTTTAGTCGTAATATAGATTCGGGGACTGTAAACCTTTTTTCAATTAAAGAAAGAGACGAAGGTTAGTAAGACTGTGAACTCTCAAAACCCATACAAAATATTCAAACCTTGATTTAAGTTATATTTATATGCTTCTACTAATTTGCTAAATACGTTAATAACAAAAAAGTTGTTTGCGAGATTATTTCACAATCCAGCGTTTGTTCAAGACACATACTAACCCTATAATATAACGTTTCCTTCAAATGTTTGCAGTTTTATAACACTATTCAATTCTACAGGCTATTATAGCTGTCGTGCCAAAAACTCAGTCGGTTCGTCTTCGCGAGAGATTTTCATTGAAGTTTTGGATCCGCCTGACCAAATCACAAATTTTCACTTGCAAACTTTATCAAGCACGTCCATTCGAGTCCAGTGGATGTCAGAAGATTTTGTATCAAAAGGAATTAAATCGTTTGAGGTGAGTATAGGTATAGCACATAAAAACGAATTGGGTATATAAGTATAATATAGTGTATAAAATAGTATCATTTTATAAATATACTTTATATGCAAGACTTGTATAGAAGTATATATACATATACGACAAATGTGATTACATTTGGAGTTCTACAATATACAAACAATTATGAACTTTCTGGAGCTCTGATAATATAAGTCCCATTTGATAATTCGGAATCGCCACAGCAGCTGCAGCAATTCAATTTTATGAAATATCTTGTTGCTAACTAATATTTGTATACTGATGGTATTGAAAAAGGCTACATCATAAAATCTTGATGACGGAGAATCTTTTGTACAAACATTGTCAATTACTAATACCTAAAATTATAAATGCGACTAAATCAGAGTGTATAAAGTTAACAATAATTTAAAAATCGTAAACTGACGAGATCATCTTGAAAATTATGCATTCGTTTCAAACTTTTTTAAATCAAATTTGCACAAATTAAATATAACACCGCAATAACATACACCATTTTGACTTAATCATCTAGAACAGTGGTTCCCAACCGCCGGTCCTCAAAGATTTTTTACCGGTCGGCGAAGATTTTTGATATTTTTTTTTCAAATTATCAAAACGTCATACCTGTATATTTAGAGTCTAAATTTTAGACCCTTACAAAAATTAACAAAACACCTCTACTAAACACACCTGAGCAAAAAAAATATTCGTCGATCAAAACTCAGCCGTTGCGCAATCATCTATTTGTCAAACACCCAATTTGAGAATACGGTAGAGAAACCCCTCCTTGAACAGAGGAAAAATGTACAAATGTGTGTGGATCTAATTAACAGTTTGTTGTTTGAACTATTTCCTGTTATTTCCTAGATGTCTTTTTCTAGCCTTGTTTTAGACTAGATGCACAGTGCAAGACTATTTATTACATTATGTTACGCAACTACAGTTGTTTATTTTTTCATGTTCCACTTATTTTAATCATCGAACCTTTTTCATCAAATGTAACCGATCCGCCATCTTCCATTTAAGATAACCTACGGTACCAACCTCGACCTGATCGCCAATACAACAACATTAAACCTTCAAGCTACCAAGGGTACCAACGAAGCAATCATAAACGGATTGAAACCGGATACAAGCTACATTATTCAAGTCACTGCTGTGAATGATGCAGGAGCAGGCGATCGGTATTAACAAAATTGTTTATATTTTGTATAGTTTCCATTATGTTTCTCATCATGTCTGTATTATCATCATTATATCGTTTCATTAGACGAAGAGTATCTAAACGTTTTGTAGAATTAGTGTTTTGTGGTTGATTTGAAAATTTCTTCTTGCTTTCTATTCTAGTAGTGTTACGACCCCAGCCAAATAAACTAATGGTAAAAGGCTATATAATTTGATTGATTTTCTGCTTATTCTGTAAAATATTGAGGGTTATAAATGTGATATTAATAAACTTGCAATTGGTTAGATCTTTCAAACAAGTTGCAATCACCTACCCGGGAATTCCTTCTGAACCAACTTCAATACGCATTGATAACGTAACATCATCTTCCTTCACTGTTGAGTGGAAAGAACCAGAGGAAACCAACGGAGAAGTGGTTGAATATGAATTGGAATACAGAAAGGTTTGTATCGTGATCCAAAACGTCAGGTTGGTCGGGACGGAAAAACATTTCGAGAAGAACCAACAGTATGAATGCGCCGTACAAAGGTGCTAAGTGGTTGCTATACTTCCTTTGAACTGGTTTGGATAATAAACAGCCAAAATCTCTTTTTAGGATAAATTAAATTAAAATGGTATCATCATCTATTACACAGATTTCACCCGGAAAGTATTTTCCTCAAACTGTGATAAATATTCGTTCCTCAAATGCTACTGTGCCGTCGCATTCAATTTTTGATCTGGTTCCGCAATCAACTTATATAGTGTCTTTGAAAGCAGGAACTCTTGGTCACAATGGTACTATTTTATGGGGAGAAAAATCTCCTCATGTATCGGTGAAAACGCACGAAGCAGGTTTGTTTCTTTGTATCTCATCATGTGGATTAGGAAAACTGCGGTATCGTTAAGACAACGATTGAAATGACCTCACAATGTAAATATATGGTGATATCTTTGAAATAAAAAACGATTATTTATCTATATAGAATTGGAAAATTAAAAAAAAATTGCATAAATGGGTTAAAAAATATTTGCCGACAAAACTAAGGTGTTCTATATTCATAAACAACAAAACCCAAAAAGTAACATAATTCACTGAACTAACGTTTGTCTGTAATCGTTTACAGCTCCATCAAGCCCACCGGCCAACATTGAAGCAATAACAAAATCACAAACATCTATATTGATTCGTTGGTCCGAAATTCCAGAAGAAAGCCAACACGGAGAAGTTATTGAGTACAGGTAATTAATTAGTGATTGATATACACACATTTAAAAAACTTTGAGAAGTTTTTGCCCAAAATATGAATATATAAAGTTAGTGTCTGAATTGATTTGAAAGATATGCCGTTATCGTTATTAACAAAGCGTTAATTAATATAAAAACTGACAAACAATCATAATGACACTTGTAATTTTGATTTTCGACTTAGCTTGTATTGTATTCTGCCTAGAGTTTTACAAAGTTGTCAGGTCTTCGAAAACAACGTTAATCAAAATCACCGTGCAAAATTTTTTTTCGTGTTCTGCGTGCAGAACAGAGATACTCGTTTTTCCTAAATAGGATGTCTTGACAGAAAATCATATACACTTATTTGATTCGCAATCTTTAAATCGGAATGTTTTATTTGTGCATTCGTTGCCAGTATTACTAAGTCTATAACACCCAGTTCAAATGTGTTAATTAAAGACCACAAATTGAATACAGAGTTCCTAATTCTTCATATTCCCATTTATATACTTATGCTTTTTAGTCGTATGTATGTATCATATGTATGTTTTCAGAATAAAATATGTGGATGATTTGTTGAATACATCACATGAAATTTCTGTCAATGGAACGTATAAATCACATCTTTTGAAAAATCTGTCGCCTTGGTGTAATTATTCAATAAATGTTCTTGGTGTAACTTCAGCAGGAAACGGTCCGTGGTCGAATACAATTATTATGGAGACTTTTATGTCAGGTAAAAAATCTGACACTAAATATTTAAAACGCGTATGGAAAATACAATGTTACATTAATGGTCGTCCAATATACGTACTCATATAATTATGTAGCGCCCTAGTAAATCAAAAAAATACAAATGCAAAATTGTTAGCTTGTTGTGCACTATGAATTAAATCAGTCGATACAATGAATGCGTGTTTTTTGACAATCTGTTTGATTGTTGAAGTTTTCAACCAATCGTTCCACAGCGAAATCAATCAATAATGTATATAAACTACTGAAAATGAAAAGATCTTTGAGTATAATTGTTAGTGAATGATATAATGTATATTCTTAAAAGGAGAATAAACGTAGGGGAATCACCAAAATATGAATAAACTATTTGCGATGTTTCCTAAACTAAGTCACTCATTGTACTCTTCTTGAATATTACTTATAGAACCGACGTCTGTGGTCACTGGATTCACAGTTAATGCTGTTTCGAATGAATCAGTTTTATTTACGTGGCATTTACTGAACAAGAGTCAGGAGAACGGGCCTGGTATTTATTACAGGGTAAAATTATGGGAAACGGCCGACGAAAATGCGGAGCAAGAACACGAAAGCAAAGAGAACATGCTAATTGTAAGTATCATAGATAAGAAAATAGATTAATTTAATCATTTTTAACTGAATTGCTTTACATTTCTAAGATAAATTCAAAGCTCTATCCTTTTCTTAATTGTGCCGATTTATTTAGTCTATACGAAATAAAACTTGCATTACAAAATATTTTCATATATGAGGTTTCGTAAAGAAAAATGCCAGTAATTATTCGCGTGTAAATTACTGATAGAGCAAATAAAGTAAGTTTGAAAAATAAGAATTTACTTACAAAAGCCATAGCCCTAAATATACTTCATTTTCAAGTTATAAAAATGTCGAATGAGGATGTCCATTATAATACACCACCATTCAATAACTGAAAAACTGCAACATCACTTTGAATTTGTGTTTTTGGCTTACAGTATATGATAAATATAATTCATATACTATTAATCATAACTGCAACAACAATACTCTTATATGATATAATCACAAGAATACAATTTATGTTCGAAAGGTTCAAAACTTACGTTCATGGACGTCCTACACAGCAAAAATAAGAGCACAAAATGATGTTAATGGAACGGGTGCTTGGTCACATGAAATATATTTTAAAACCAATGAATCAGGTACAAAAATTTTCTTCATAATTCTGTTTAAGCATTTTACTATATTGTGTTCCGTAAGTGGCCGCAAACTGCATTCAAGGATCTTTCATATAGCTTTCATCCAGTAGACTATATAGACTTCGAACGCTACTCGCAACAAAAACTTCATGTTAAACACACAATAAGCTAGAGAAAAGTTTTGAAGCAATGATAAAGGGGTTACAAATGAAAATTCAGAACTGCTTAGATGTCAGATACGTATTCTCCTAAGAAAGCCAGTATTTTGACCGTTCCAGAAACTTTAAAGGCATGTTCAGAATAAAATAAGATTGGTATAACAAAACAACAATTGATAAAAAAAAATTTAAAACAAAATCTTCCTATCGTAGTTAATCAGTTAGCACACACTATAAATTGATTTTTATTCGATCTGTTTATATTTATAAAGTATCTGGACCCTGCGTTAATCTGCACTCCTTCGATAATACTTGGGAATCAATCTCGATAAAATGGCGTCCACCTGCACATGTTAACGGGCGATTACAAGGATACGTCGTGCAACATCACACTATATATTGTGGACAGCCAGGCTATGTAGTCGACATAAACACGTACACGTGTGTAGAAACTACAACTCAGTCTGCAACTCATTCTGAAACGAAAATGCCGAATCTGACTAATTTATTGGATTATGAAGAAAAGTTAAAACCTGTCGACTTCATTGATATGAATAGAAGCGAAAGGAAAATTGAAAATGTAGGAAATAATTTTATGAACATGATTTCCACGGCGCCATATTTAGTCCCTTCAATCGACGACTGAGGATTCTGCAAAACAAGTAATCGAAGGACCAGTTACAGAAGCGCTTCTTTGTTGAATAATGAATCGGAAGTGACGTATAATATCTCGTCTCTTGAATCGTCTACTTTATATACAATTATCGTTCGAGCAAAAATAAAGCAGGTTTGGGAATTCCCTCAAAAATTAACGCAAAAACAGGTATGTATTTATGTAAAGACACTTCAAAATTTGCTTGCGATATAGTTATTCTCTAATAAGACATTACATATCGTTGAATGTACTGCTTTTAATAAAGAGCACCTCACTTGTATGGGAGATTAGTACAAAATAGCAAAAACAATAACAAGGAGATTATCACATAGATTATAAAAATAGATATGATTGAAAAACAATTACAGGTTACCATCTGTATATGACTAACTATGTAGGAAGTTGGTTCGGATTCATTTAGTTGTTTTCCGATGATTAAATTATTAGAAAAGAAAATTTCGGAGGACCGTGAATTCCAGCCATGATCTAATCACAATATAACTGGTCTTGATCGAGTGTTCTTCGTATTTTTGACCAGTTTATTATGTTATAATTTCTATTCATTCGTTTGAAAATATTTTAATATTTTTTAGTTTCAGCACCCACCACAACACCAAGTTCAACAACTACTAATGAAGCTACTACGGTAGAAGATATTGCAACAACAACTACGCTATATCGACAAACAAAAGCAAGTAAGAGATACAGAACACTAATGGAATTTTACTGCATTTGAATACTCAACTTTTCAAACTCAATAATGTCAGCAGCCTACTTTATATTTTAGTGATACACACTCGCAGTGTGATATTCACTGATTTACAGCAATCCGTGTTGTTATGCACTATACCTTCATGTGTGCATATGAGACTATGGGTTCCATTACATTTGAACCCACGTACATTTGAACCCATGACAATTGCACCTGCATGCTATTGCACATATGGAAATTTTTTTTGTTCTACGGATAGTTGAACCCATACTAACACTAACCCATGGGTTTTAGCACCCGAATATAGATTGAACCCGCGGATATACACGTGGGTTCAAATGTACATAGGTTCAAATGTACGGTCACCGAGACTATGAGTTTGAGTATATAGGTTTTATCCGTTTTGGCCATTGGTTACAATCTAGGATGCAAAATTCAACCCTTCACCTAAACAAAGGTTGATAAATTGAGCGTACTATATCAGCTCGGAATGATGTGTGCCTTCACGGAATCTTTCGATGGATGATGGTTTGCAGCCTTGTTTAGAGAGAAGGGGTTACATGAAACAAAATGTGTATTAAATTTTGTTTGCCACTGTTGGTGTTTTTACCCTTGAGTTTTTTTTGAAAATATTAGTATTTATTCGCATTCGCATGGTATGCTCTATTTCCCTTCAGGTAAAAGTTTAACTTTTTTACAAAAAGCTACTTGCGTCAAGAAAACAAAACTTTATCTCGTACAATGATCAATTATTATCGAGGCTAATTATCTTTCAATTTGTTCTTTTACTGGGACTTCGGAAATAATATTTATTTTATCCTCATTGTTTACACGTTTTGTTTCCAGGTTTGACGAAGTCTGCACTGATAGCTGGAAGTACAGGGGGAGCATTATTTATATGCCTAGTAATTGCATTGATGGCCATAACAACTTGTTTTAAAAGACGAAAAGATCCTACAAATATAAATAAAGGTTATTCAAATTATCTTTATATTTTCTATTTATATGATCAAAAAGTAGATAACGCCTTAAATTTGAATTATTTGCTTTGTATATACGATCTTCATAAGAATATATAGTTCATGAATCTGATTTATGGATCGATTTTATGGTGATACAGCCTAATTTACCTTACGTGGTAGATAGAGCAAGGTATGTCATCCAAGTTATTTTCATACATACTGAATAAACTACACAGCTGTGTAGTACAAATAACAAATAAGTACAAATAACGATAGATTGATAATTTCGGTTCTCAATTTACTTAGTATTCTCATGTAACGAATGATTTTCTGATGTTTTTTTTTGCGATTGCTGCACACTCGCAATGCTAACCAGTAACATTAATCCAGAGGAAAAGGCAGTTATTTTGCCCAAAAAGAATAACATAGTAGCGTCATTCGCTCATGAGATTCACTTCAACGTATGAGGACGCGACAGGAAGCGCTAGCTATTAGCGTTATGCTAGTCGCTTAGGGATGTCCTTATCGTCATTTGAATGACCCTGACACTTTTTTTCTTACAGCATCTTCGATTATTTCGAAGCATTTTGAAAAATCTGCTTCGTCTGGAAATATTGAATTGCAAAACAGAAATTCAATCGAAGTACCTGAAATTCCAACATTTACTGGATCAATAGAAGAAACCACACCAAAAGAATCATTCGAGTCGAGAACGAAATATTCACTTTCTCATTACAAACGGTATGTGGTGTGCGATTTCTATTCAACGTTCATTATGGATGTAAACTTGAGGTTCATCTTATTAATCCCTTTATCAGCGACATTTTATTGCCCAGCTTCAACTTTTTCAGATATCGTAGTCCGAGCCCTGATGACACAGAAACGGAATTTGAATATGCTATTATACAAGACGGTAATGTCATTACATTTTCAGTGTAAATTGCAATGAATATTGGATATTTTGCCCTATTTAATGTTGTTTTATTGCGCAGACTCGAAGGCCTTTGCTGACACTTTACCTAAAAAGAATGATAACACAGAAAGTGCAGTATATGCTCAAGTAAGTAATTTTATAATATGGTTCATTTTTCTTGTCAAATATCATGATAAATGACAATTTCGTTCACGAGCAATTTCAATTATTGATATCATATCTCAAAGTCAATAAACATACCGATATCAACGACAATTTTAAGCCACATGATTACTTTAATAGTGTATTATTTGTCAGCCTACACCATAAACCGCGTATGCTATACCTAAATCTTGAAACATTTCTAAATCCTGCGCTACAATATTCGATAGAAATATTAGGCAATTCACTAGTTTTTACTGTTTACTATGCATATCTTCTCAGTTTGTTGGGATACCATCACCAAAAAGTCGGCACACAAGACTGCAAGCTCTCCGAATAGATCGAAGCCGGTTCATCACCCACGAAAAATGACGAATGCAACGAATGTTAAATCAGTAATTAAAAATGGAGGCTTTCCTGACCATAAGCCTAACTGGACACTTCGATCATCAGTGTCGTGTTCTTCTTACGATTCCGTTACATCTCATTCACTCAAACAAGCCAGAAGAGCTCAACAGCAACATGACGCATCTAAACATCACTCTAATACTCCTACTATCTTCAGCGACATCGATAATATTGTAATTGATAGTAGTGAAAGCAATCCAAAATCAATATCTGAGAACCGTTACAGTTATGGTCAACACAATACTAATAACAATAGGACAGAATTGAAAGATATTCCTATGGTCAAGAAAGTCAGAAGATACTCAATTGAAGATACTTACATGTAACAATTTGTTAAAAAAAATTGTGAAAATACTGATATGCTTTTTATTCCAAATTAAAATGATGGTCACGCAACGTCATAATATTAGTTGGGAAATGGTAAACCACTATCATAAAAAATCGAATATTTCCTTTGGTTATTTTAAAATAATATTTTTCAAGTAAAATTTTATCTGAATTTAGGATATCTCATTTCCAAATGTTTCAGATATTTCTAAGCGTACGAAACTGCCAACGGGATTTGTCGGAGTATGTTGTATTTCTTATAAATCTTTCAGTTTTAACACGCCCTGACGTCTCACGTTTCATTGTCGAGTTAAATTTATATCATATAACTTGACTCTTGAATCGCTTTACAATAGCTTCACATTTTTTGCTTTCGAAAATAAAATTGAAGCAATATGCATTATTCTGTTGTAAATTTACTTATTTAGTTTTAGTCAGGTAAAAGAGTATCAGTTAAAGGCAATGCAAAGCACAATATTAATAAACTAGCGCAGCAAATTATAAAACTGAATAGAGTCCCATCAGAGCATTTCAACAGGGTGGTCATGAGTTCGTTACCACAGCATTACTGGAACAATCCTCCGTAACTCACAGTTTTCACATCTCTCCCACACAGCACATCGTTTATGGAAATATCTTCAATGATTTCCTACTGCCTAACCAAATATTCGAATATATTTATAACCCCTAAACGGGAATAAAAATCTTAGACTATGTTCTCTAAACGTCGGAACTACAAGAAAATACAATATACTTATCTGCTCTTCTGAATCAAGCTTCCCTTAATATCTTTAAAATATGGTATAATAAATATTCATCTCAGCAGAACGCGTATTAAAGACGATTTTGAGAGCTGATTGACAGATTCATGTAGAGAGAGATTAACAGTACCAGAAAAGTTGTTAAAATGTATTAAACTGTAACCATACAAATTTCAAATTCGCCAAAGCACCCAATATCAATCGGAAAGAAGGTTGATAAATTCGATATGTCACGGTATAATCATAAATGTGATTAGGTCATCAAATAAGACATTGTGATGCTTTTAATAGTATATATCGATATATTTTATGAATAAAACCTGTGGCAGATATTGAATAGACGTGAATTAGATAGGAGAGTAGAATATAGAAAATTTCTGAAGAATGTAACAACCGTATACTAACCGTATCAATTTCCATCGCAATTTTGGCAAACTTCAATCCCATAACAAGGTAATTGCTTTCGACGCAAATTTCAGCAAACGTCATTTGGTAAGTACATGTTTCACTTATACTTTCGGTCAAAGTTGATCGAAAGAGATTGAGACATTTCTCGAGCCAATCTGGATTAACTGTTTTTTCACTTGTGCGTAAACAATTGATGACTTGATAATGTCGAGGAAGCTAGAATTACCCAGTGTTGGGCTTAGGAAGCTTCCACGATATTTGATATTTCAAAATGCCCTGAAGCCTAGAATTTGTGCGGTTAACTATAATGCGCTCGCTATAACAAAATTACTTCCAGATATTTTATTCTACGCACAGAACCCCGGAGTTTATGCAACAAGGAATCGTGTTCACAGATTTTATGAAGAAATAGAGAATGAGTTATAAAGACGAAGGGTTAGTATTTTGCACAAATTAGTTTATGAGTTATTACTGTAAAATAATAATTTTCTAAAAAAATTTGAATTTCAGAATCATAACAGTTCAAAAATGTACGAACGACGATGAATGGGAAAAACTTCGATACTGCTTTGAAAAATCATTTGAGAATTATCCTTTACACACGTATTACATGCCAGAAATCTCGAAACGCGCAGATTTTTTGAAACGATACCTAAATGCCTGCCACTCTGCAACAAAAAAGAAAGAAGGAATAGTCATGGCAATTCAAAAAGTAAGCTTTTATTATTATTTGGTTGCGATTGAGCAACGTGTATAATAACCATGCTGCTATCGCAGACACAGGGGAGTCGTGTATGAGCATGTACCAGTCTGTTCTGGAGACACTTACTAATAGTTTTTGTCTCCCAACGTGGCTACTTGTGTCGACTCTTGAGTCTTGTCTTAAACATTGAATATTATTTTAAATATTAGAATTATTATTAACGATCGACATTACTAATATTTTTTCAGAACACTGAGATTATCGGTGGATTTATATTTGATCCAATCCCCAGTTCGGAAAGTAGTTTTGTTTTGGATTCCGAGAGATTTACAGAAGCCTATCTGGAAAACAACATAGATCATCATTACCCTGAAAGTTTCTCGAGAATTAAAAGGTGAACGCATGATATATTCTATGTAATTCAATAGTGCTGCTGCACACTAACACAAATGTATTTCTGTAACGTTTCGTCTGTCCAAAATCAGACTTCCTCAGACAAGTAGTTTACAACAATGACAAGAAAAACACAATCATGCGGATAAAATACGGCAATAAATAAATTTGTTTGATAATAAATTTTCAGTTTAATTGTGATTTGTGACCAAACATCGAATAAACAATTATTTGTATTTTGAAACAGATTGCGACGTTAAAATACGGTCGGTTCTCGGCATGGAATAATTGTTCCGCGATGTACTTGATCTTGAATTGCGTACAATGGTATTTTTATTTCTGCTACAGCATTCTTGCAATATATATACGCATATGGATCCACTAGGACAAAAGCATTGGGGAAAGGATTGGGAGTTAGTCTCGCGCGCGTACAACCTCTACTGATAGGTATAAATATATGTTCCTAATTCACGGGATTATTTTGAATAAATGAACCAGAACCTGAAATATAGCTAGAATCCAGATTTGAATTTGAAAATTATGATCGTTACTTACTTGTATCAAAATATGATTTTTAGGTATGAAAGATGGGAGGATCAAACAATATTGGAATTATTCAGGAAGCGTTCGTTAAAGCTGCAGTGGGAAGGTATGTTTTGTGCAATTGACCCAAGTTATCGGGGAGGTGGCATCGGTTCAATATTGACAAACACGAATCCGTTTGCTAATGAAAACATCAGTGTTACATCAGGCACAAATTGCATAAGCGAAACAAGCAATGCCGCAGAATTATTGCTCAAAGCAGACGGACAAATAATTGACATAAACGGCATAAGAGAAGAAAAAGATCCAAGACGCAAACTTGTGCCAATTTTGATCATTTGCCACGACCGTCAATCAGTCGGATTCATGCTTAAAAACCGTTGTCAGCTGATTGCAGAAAAGACTTACAAAGACGATATTGAAACTTCTGTGCTACAATTTCCAGTTTATTTTTTTAAAGGAGAAATTATTGTAGAAAACTACAAATTGTAAAAACAAAGCAATAGACTTCACACACACAGGAGCTGATCTAGTGTCAGTTTTATCATTTAATTTTGGACTATTATTCTTTTCTAGTTCGTTTTCAAATTGAAAGGCTTGCTCCAGAATAAATGAAATTCTAAATAAATTTCGAATGGTTGTTGCATGTATCTTAATTGCCTGTAACTAGAATTTCGTATGTCACGCAGTTTAGAATTTTTTTCATAACGCCATATTAAATTATACATGGTAGTTAAAGCTCCATTATGACGTCATATTAAATTCGTTGCGGCGTCATTGTTTAAAGCTGGCCTCACAAACGGCGTAGCATATTTAAATTCGACCCTGAGCTGATCCTGCCCATTGCCACGAGTTGGACCTGACCTTGGCATTCACGGTACAATAAACATTGAAAATCTGTGTTCGCCAAATCAGTATGGAGCATATGGATAATGCCAAAATGAAAGTATGGCAATTGTGAGTGGAATACTGCAAAGTCATTCCAATAATATATAAGATGTATACTATTATTGTGTACTATTCATATTATATAAAAATATATAAGATGAATAGTACACAAAACTTATTCCACTTCATCATGTTACAGAAGAATTACCTTACTGCGGTTCAATTGTTGATTGCTTATAGGGTTACCATATTTTCGCGACCTCAAAGCGGGACGCCTCCAAAGCCCAAGCTGTAATTTTTTTCAACTTTGAATTTACTGATTTTACATTGGGAGCCTATATTTAAAACCATCCCGGCTGTCTTCATTGACCATAATGTCATCGAGAGTTCATGCGCTGTCTGTCTAAATATCGGTTTCAGTTCGAAAAATAGAAAGGAATTTACGTCAACGTTAAGCACCCTTTTGGCGTACGGAGATTACACGTAACAAATTGTAGCAAATATACGCCAACAACAACGAAACACACAAAACCATATTCAGCAAATAGACTACCAGTACGCTACAAAACAGCAACAGTATCGAGAATATGCTAATTTGTAATGTTCGTGTATTATGCGGACTGGCTGAACGCCAAAGCGGGACTTTTGGCTGCCCGGTCGGGACAAGACGTTTAAAAGTGGGACTGTCCCGCCTAAAACGGGACGTATGGTAAGCCTATTTATGCACCATACATCTGAGACTGTTCATAGCTATCGTCAGGATAAATCGTGAACATTACAAATCTCCTACAAAGAATACTACCACGTTTTCAACTTTCTCACTACACACCCACTAATATGGGAAGTGGTTTTGAAGTGTGAATGTAGACTAATCCTTTTTTAGTATAGTATGTGAGTGGAATTCTATCGAACAAAAGCTGAACGCTGAGACACGGGACCTGTGGCAAATAAATCCATTAAAACCGTTTTTCCTGCTTGTACTAGCTATGATACACCAGGGACTCTATTGAGCCCATTTGGGTTTGAGTCACCAATCGTTTTTAGATGTTCTTACACAGTGCATAATATACTTTCCTTATTTTCTATCAGCTCTCTCTATCTGTATTTTTGTCTATTTAAAAGGTATACAAAATTAACATTTACAAAAATCGGCTTAGTTTTCATGGCATTATTTGTAGGGTTTGAATCCGCAGAAATCGATTACAGCCACTTCAATGAACCGAGCTGACCTTAGATGACGCTGGAAGCAGAGTCCGATCCCAAACGTTGATTCAAGTTATAAATGTCTTCGTAACATTATTTTCTATATTTGATTGAAGCTTCTCTTCGCGTAGGTAGGTGGAGAGTAAATAGAGAAAGTAATTCACGGAAGGACGCATATTACAATATATATCATATATGTGAAGTACGTTTTGGTAGGAGAGTGGGTTCTGAAGTGCTGATTGTGTAATTATTTGGGGTTTCTTATTCGGCTTGTAAGCTGTGTACATAGTAAAGTTACTTCCAACGTAAATGTACCGCTCCGTACTTGGAGATTGCATCGTGCGCCGCCTACATGCTCACATCATATTCAATGTGATGCGAAATTGTTAGGTGTTCAGAATGCCAGAAGTTATTGCATGAAGACTTTTATTTGGGGGTCCAAATGATAGGACAAGCCTACGCGTACTGATTTCATCTACAGGGCTATCATATTAGTCTTAATTTTGCTTTGAATTGATATAATTTAAGTTATATATTTCGAAATTTTAAAAATCGGGTAAATATGTGAGTATGATGACAGGATAAGTGGCGACGAATAGGAAAATAGTAGTAACAAGAGCGGAATGATGTGCAATAGAAGTTGTACAGAGGGGATCAAGTATGAACTTGAATATATTGCTGAGAAGCTTATGGTGCTTGAAATCAGTATGACCGAAAATAAGTTGCACCATGAACGTCTGGGTTGTGGATATGAGAACAAATAAATAAGAGCCTAGTGTTAACGATATCACAAATCGTGGATTCGTGAGTAATGAACCTAGTTGTATTACCCAGATTTTCCGGGTTACGATGTCATACTTGTCCCAAGGGACAACTAGGCCGGCAAATTGGATAGGTAGGACACATAGAAAAAGTGAGACAATTTGAGCGACAAATGGGACACGTGGCACAAGTGAGGCAATTGGGCTGGCAAATGGGATACATGGCACAGGTGGGAAAACTAGGAAGAGTGGGACACGACATTTTTGAGCCGCCCTTCTTTTTACTGCCTCATGTTGGGTAGGGTCTATACTGCGATCTTTGAAGTGACTGCAATCGACTTTTACTTAATAAACTTTTACCTCAATTGGCAAAGCCAATACTCCATACAGCGGCAATTCAATGATTCGTTCAGGTGAAGTCCTCATTTAGATCGCCTCTTGTTGTTCAGGTATACCAGTATAAGTCGAAAAAGGCGCTTCACTACGTTGATTATAATTTGGGCGCTCCCGTAGTATGTGCACAAAGATGGCGCACAACCTTAACCCTAACCTGATACACATACTATGTTCAGGTTGTGCGCCATCTTGGTGCACATACTACGGAAAAACCATAATTTGAGCCCACACTTTGTGATATCTCTCATCAATTTATGCTACGAATTATTTTTACGACTCTTATAAAACATTCAATTTGTTAACAGTGTGTTTGACAAACATAAATTTTCGAAATAAAACTTTACTATTCATTAATTTAGATATTTTTTATGGAGAAGTAAGAAAAGTTTAAAGAAATAGGCAAAAATATATGCTTAAAACTTAATTAGCCTGAGGAATTAACAAAATTTTCCACGGCGTGACTGAATTTTTCTATAAATCTCATTCGTTTCAGTTGCATAACGTAATTATGTTTAAAGATTTGCCGGTGTTTGACAATGTATATCCATGACGTCGTTTCACTCGTTTTCGTTTAATTAATTTTATGGGCATTTCTCCTGTTTGGATATTCATTCCAAAGCATAGTAAAATATTTGAGTCCGTTGTGATACAAATTCCTGACTGTAACTTTTTTAAAATCTTCAATTTCAAAAGGCGCAATTTTCGGAGTGAATTTATTTTATTTCTGAATTATATTTAGCCATTTCTATTCTATAAAATACCCAAAACTTTACAACTGTAAAGTACACATGGAAAATGTACAGATATATGCGAGTACATGGAAGAGGATTGTAAACAAAGCTATAGAAATCATGAAGTATCTTTGGAAACGCCATTTCCTATCCCGTCTGATATCAATATGGAATGACTTGCATCAGCCGATATGATTCTGAAAGTGTGCTAGAGGAAGGTTGTATAAACTGCAAAATAATTATGTTGATATGTAGCCTATTTGTAATAGTGTATATAACTGTGGGTATAGATGCCCATAGTCAATCAACCTCGTTCATTCATGACAAATGTGGTTTGACACCAAAGAAGAATGTGGACTAGTCGCAGGCAAGTCGTTGTGGCCTGAAGAGTTAAAACATGAAAATGACTCTGTATGAAGCGATATACTGTATATATCAAATATATAGGTCAAAATAATAAAATACTTCGAAAAGAAAAAACGAAATACAGAGTTACCTAAAAAACAGAACCCTTAAATTACCCAATTGCTCATCCAAATTTGAGAAAATTTATCTAATTTTTTTTACAGAACTTTTTGCTGAAACCACTAATTTTCTTAATCATCAACGTCGTTTAAATAATGTCTAGCACTTTTCCAGCACCATCACATAATGTTCCATATTCACCGTTTGATATTCGTTTCCATATTCGTACGGAACATTACGTAACGTACGCAAATGTCTACACATGCCGCGCACTGGGTGTGGCGTTCTCTGTAAGACTTCCCAATGTGCCCCTCCCTGTAAACAATATTTTTGCTATTGACATGCCCAGGTAGCAGGAGGTGCGCTTCGGCATAAAACCAATGAACCAAGACCACAAAACCAAGACAATTTTGCGCAGCGTATACAAGTCTGTATCCAACATCATGAGGATAGTTTAGATTATATAACATATATATTCTAGAATCTAGAGCAATGGTTCGCGAAACAATTTAATTTTTCCATAAATATGAGCATCGCGTCTGTGCAGCGTATTTATGTATAACAACTTTATAAATCACTGATTATAATTATGAATGTTTCCCCGAGTATACACTTCCTTATTTACTGCCGTAACATTGGCCAATCAGCATAAGTGCAAAATTGAAGTAACAATGAACGTTTCAGAAGCGCTCAGATACTTTTGCCATTTAGACAGTTTTTCGTGGTTGTGATATTACCTCGTTTCGTCGGTTTTTGCGTGTTATTTGTTAGATTTTAGTTGTGTTTTGGTAAATATAAGTCCTAAACTCGCAAAACCATTCTTGAAATAAGTAGCAATAATTTTGCAATGGTAGAGTGTAAAATGGAAGAATTCAAGAGATCAAAAGTCGGGGAAACATTCGTTACTTAGTTGTTCGCATTGTTATATCCTACTACGTAGACTTTGGGTTCTCAAAGTGCTCCGTACGGAGCCTCAGCACTCCGTTAAAGACACTTAAAACTGTCCTAGACCCACTGCCCTATCTCCATCTACTTACCTATACTCGACTCACTGCTTGTCCCCCCTTTACTTTTCTATCCTCGACCCACTACGCTATCTCCCTATTCTCGACCCACTGCCCTATGTCCCTCAA